CAACCAGCTCACACTCACAGTACACTACAATACCAACCAGCTCACACTCACAGTACACTACACTACAATACCAACCAGTTCACACTCACAGTACACTACACTACCAACCAGCTCACACTCACAGTACACTACACTACCAACCAGCTCACACTCACAGTACACTACACTACAATACCAACCAGTTCACACTCACAGTACACTACAATACCAACCAGCTCACACTCACAGTACACTACAATACCAACCAGCTCACACTCACAGTACACTACAATATCAACCAGCTCACACTCACAGTACACTACAATACCAACCAGCTCACACTCACAGTACACTACAATACCAACCAGTTCACACTCACAGTACACTACAATACCAACCAGCTCACACTCACAGTACACTACACTACCAACCAGCTAACACTCACAGTACACTACAATACACTACCAACCAGTCACACTCACAGTACACTACAATACCAACCAGCTTACACTTACAGTACACTACAATACCAACCAGCTCACACTCACAGTACACTACACTACCAACCAGCTAACACTCACAGTACACTACACTCCCAACCAGCTCACACTCACAGTACACTACAATACAATACCAACCAGCTCACACTCACAGTACACTACACTACAATACCAACCAGTTCACACTCACAGTACACTACAATACCAACCAGCTCACACTCACAGTACACTACACTACCAACCAGCTCACACTCACAGTACACTACAATACAATACCAACCAGCTCACACGCACAGTACACTACACTACCAACCAGCTCACACTCACAGTACACTACACTACAATACCAACCAGTTCACACTCACAGTACACTACAATACCAACCAGCTCACACTCACAGTACACTACACTACAATACCAACCAGCTCACACTCACAGTACACTACACTACCAACCAGCTCACACTCACAGTACACTACACTACAATACCAACCAGCTCACACGCACAGTACACTACACTACCAACCAGCTCACACTCACAGTACACTACACTACAATACCAACCAGTTCACACTCACAGTACACTACAATACCAACCAGCTCACACTCACAGTACACTACAATACACTACCAACCAGCTCACACTCACAGTACACTACACTACCAACCATATCACACACACAGTACACTACACTACCAACCAGCTCACACTCACAGTACACTACACTACAATACCAACCAGTTCACACTCACAGTACACTACAATACCAACCAGCTCACACTCACAGTACACTACAATACCAACCAGCTCACACTCTGTCACGATCGTCTACGAGAGAGGACCAATGCGCAGCGTTGAAGGTGAACATAATATATATTTATTAACTGATCACACGATCAAAACAATAACCAACGATGCGTGACGTCTAAGGTTACAACACGAACAAACCTTAACGGAACAAGAAACCACAACACAAAGTGAAAAGACCGATAGTTAAATATGGCTCCCAATCAGAGACAACCAGCTGACACTCGTTGCCTCTGATTGGGAGTCACTCAGGCCCACATAGATATACAAACATAGACTTACATACCCTGGCTCAACATAACATAGTCCCCAGAGCCAGGGCGTGACAGTACCCCCCCCCAAAGGCGCGGACTCCGACCGCCTCGGCGGCGGATCCGACCGCACTCCGCCTCGGCGGCGGATCCGGCTCCGGACATGACCCAGGCACGGGTTGTGCTGGACTGACGACGCGCACCCCTGGCTTGGTGCGTGGAGGAGGAACGGGCCTTACCAGGCTGACGACGCACACCGTAGGCTTGGTGCGTGGAGCAGGGACAGGCCGGACTGGGCTGACGAAGCACACCACTGACTTGGTGCGGGGAGCAGGAACGGGCCGGACCGGGCTGACGAAGCGCACCCCTGACTTGGTGCGGGGAGCTTGGATGGGCCGGTCTGGGCTGGCGACGCGCACCACAGACTTGGTGCGGAGAGCTGGAACGGGCCGGACAGGGCTGACGAAACACACCACAGACTTGGTGCGGAGAGCAGGCACGGGCCGTGCCGGACTGACGACGCACACCACTGGCTTGGTGCGGGGAGCTTGGATGGGCCGGACTGGGCTGGCGACGCGCACCACAGACTTGGTGCGGAGAGCAGGAACGGGCCGGGCTGGGCTGTCGACGCACACCGTAGGCTTGGTGCGTGGAGTAGGAACGGGCCGAACCGGGCTGACGATGCGCACCCCTGTCTTGGTGCGGGGAGCAGGAATAGACCGGACCGTACTGGGGACACACACCACTGGCCCTACACCGGGATCTTTAACGGGCCGGACCGGACTGGCAACACACGCCAGTACCTCTCGCCGTGCCTCTACATCCTCCATCCCCTCTTCGACCAGTGGCCCCCGTAACCTGGCGGCCTCCTCTGGCAACCCACTGGGCCGCTCTATCGCGGCCTCCTGCTGGTCCGACGTCGTGAGCCCCCCCCTAAAAAATTTCTGGGAGTCTCTCTTCCCCGTGGGCCAGGCCTCGATAATTCTCGCCCACCTCTCGCTCCTCTGCTTCCAATCTCCGTCATTCAGCTCCTCATTCGGCTTGACCCAGTCGAAGCTCTGCCTCCACTGTTGCCAAGTCCACCTACTCTGCTCCTCACTAGGCTGCTTGGTCCAGTTCTGGTGGTTTCTTCTGTCACGATCGTCTACGAGAGAGGACCAATGCGCAGCGTTGAAGGTGAACATAATATATATTTATTAACTGATCACACGATCAAAACAATAACCAACGATGCGTGACGTCTAAGGTTACAACACGAACAAACCTTAACGGAACAAGAAACCACAACACAAAGTGAAAAGACCGATAGTTAAATATGGCTCCCAATCAGAGACAACCAGCTGACACTCGTTGCCTCTGATTGGGAGTCACTCAGGCCCACATAGATATACAAACATAGACTTACATACCCTGGCTCAACATAACATAGTCCCCAGAGCCAGGGCGTGACACACTCACAGTACACTACAATATCAACCAGCTCACACTCACAGTACACTACAATATCAACCAGCTCACACTCACAGTACACTACAATATCAACCAGCTCACACTCACAGTACACTACAATATCAACCAGCTCACACTCACAGTACACTACAATATCAACCAGCTCACACTCACAGTACACTACAATATCAACCAGCTCACACTCACAGTACACTACACTACCAACCAGCTCACACTCACAGTACACTACACTACAATACCAACCAGCTCACACGCACAGTACACTACACTACCAACCAGCTCACACTCACAGTACACTACACTACAATACCAACCAGTTCACACTCACAGTACACTACAATACCAACCAGCTCACACTCACAGTACACTACACTACAATACCAACCAGCTCACACTCACACTACACTACAATACCAACCAGTTCACACTCACAGTACACTACAATACCAACCAGCTCACACTCACAGTACACTACAATACACTACCAACCAGCTCACACTCACAGTACACTACACTACCAACCATATCACACTCACAGTACACTACACTACCAACCAGCTCACACTCACAGTACACTACACTACAATACCAACCAGTTCACACTCACAGTACACTACAATACCAACCAGCTCACACTCACAGTACACTACAATACCAACCAGCTCACACTCACAGTACACTACAATATCAACCAGCTCACACTCACAGTACACTACAATACCAACCAGCTCACACTCACAGTACACTACACTACAATACCAACCAGCTCACATGCCACCAGAAACAGCAAAGACCTGCCCACCTGCTGCTAAGACTAGTCTCATGTCAAGTGCCATACTTCAACATGTAGCACTATGGATACCAGTACAAACGCACACTGGCATCAATGCTCAGCGTTTTTCTCGCCCATGCAGCTCTATTGTCATGATTGCCTTTCTGATGGATTTTCTTGGTCTAACCCATGCAACTCAATGGAATCTTTCCCCAATGCCCGTACACATTCACACCGGCCCCAATGCATAGCCTAATTGCAATCAATCACTAGCCCACCATTTAACTCTGCATGGACTACTATCTCCCCAATGCACAATCACATGGAAGCCCATGCAGCAGGCAGACATTGCTATGGACCCACTGACCTTCAGAGAGGATAAATGGCCATTCATGTGCCCTTGGGCAGAGAGAGGGCTGAGTAGGCTGAACAGGCTCTCCATTGTGAGAAGGGCAGTAGCCTGGGGTCTCCTCTCAGTGAGGATCAGCATCATGGTGGACTAGAGGGAGGTCGGAGGGACTGAGGTCGGAGGTCGGAGGGACTGAGGGAGCTGTCTTTTTTCTCTCAGGTTGCGTCCCAAATGCCACCCTATTCTCTACATAGTATACTACTTTTGACCAGGGGCCACATGGGTCTTGGTCAAAAGTAGTGCACTATGTAGGGAATAGGGTGCCATTTGGGATGCAGCCTGTCATTAGGCTAAGCTGATGCCTCCAGGGTTGGTTGATTAGTGTCGTGGCCCAGGGGCTATTAATACACAGTGTCCCATAGACATGTGGTGTGTCCAGATGTGTCTTCACGTTTCAAGTTGTAATGTCACATGCACAAGTTCAGTGAAATGCCTTCCTTGCTAGCTCTAAACCCAACAATGCAGTAATCAATATCAATATAGTACTCAAAATAACAAGGTAGAACAGAAACACAGGAGATATAGAAATAAGAAATAAGAAGAACAGGAGGAAGTAAGAATCTAAAAACAGGATCAGTTCAATACCATATTTATAATGTGCAGGGATACTGGAGTGATAGAGGTAGATATGTATAGGGGTAAGCATACTATATACAGGATCAGTTCAATACCATATTTATAATGTGCAGGGATACTGGAGTGATAGAGGTATATATGTATAGGGGTAAGCATACTGTGTAGAGTCCTGTGAGTGCATAGAGACTAAATATAAGGATCTCTGGTGTGACCTTTATTCCTCGTGGTTACAACTATGACGGAGGTGGGTAGTATGGATGGAACTATGAGGAGGGAGGTGGGTAGTATGGATGGAACTATGAGGAGGGAGGTGGGTAGTATGGATGGAACTATGAGGAGGGAGGTGGGTAGTATGGATGGAACTATGAGGAGGGAGGTGGGTAGTATGGATGGAACTATGAGGAGGGAGGTGGGTAGTATGGATGGAACTATGAGGAGGGAGGTGGGTAGTATGGATGGAACTATGAGGAGGGAGGTGGGTAGTATGGATGGAGATTAATAAAGGACTAAATACACGTGTCGACCGACGGTGAAAAGCAGCGTGTGGCCGTGTGATCACCTGCTGGGTGTCGACCGACGGTGGTGATTCAGCGTGTAGAATTGGGAAATAAACAGAAAATGACCACTGATTTTCTGGTCAGAGGAAGATTGAAGCACATGCACATCTGGTGCTTTCCATGCCAACAATGGCCTCAAACCATGTCATACTGCAATAAGAGCTCTTCATCATTGTCTTGAGTATCTCTACATCAAAATGTGTTGCAATATATGAATGTTCTTCTTGCTACGGCTAGTGGTAATATAGGCTCAGTTGTGTGCTGCAGACTCCTTTCTAAAGCCATCTGTTTCCCTCTCTCTGTCCCTCTCTTCCTCCATACCCATCCCTCTGTCTGCGCTCGCCCTCCCTCCCCCTCTACTCTCCTCCCTCTCAGGCTCGGCTGCGTTGCCAGGCAACATGGCGTACTTTGGGAGTGCCCAGGATGATGTGGATCTGGAGGATGAAGATGATGAGGAGGAGGAGTGTGACGACAGGATGTCAGCTCTCAGCCACAACTCCACTTCCTGTCCGTCCTCACAGCGGAAAAACAAAACAACGCCGGGGAAGAAGGTTTCCAATGGACATGGTACTCACTACTGATCTACCATGTTTGTTTTGTTCTCCTTCTAGTTCGCTCAGTCGCTCAGTCGCTCAGTCACTCAGTCACTCAGTCACTCAGTCGCTCCGTCGCTCAGTCACTCAGTCACTCAGTCACTCAGTCACTCAGTCACTCAGTCACTCAGTCACTCAGTCACTCCGTCGCTCAGTCACTCAGTCACTCAGTCGTTGGCTTGGCTTGCTCACAATAACTCAGTCAGCCAGTCACTCACTCACTCAGTCACTCACTTAGTCACTCAGTCATTCACTCACTCACTCAGTCATTCACTCACTCAGTCAGTCAGTCAGTCACTCACTCACTCAGTCAGTCACTCACTTAGTCACTCAGTCATTCACTCAGTCAGTCAGTCAGTCAGTCACTCAGTCACTGACTCTTTCCCAGACGTCGTTCTACTTCACCTAGTAACTGAGTAACAGAGGCCCATACTGTATAATACTCCCTCACCAATCAGAAGAAGCCTAGTGAATTACAGCTCTGTCTCCTCTCACACCACGAGCATATACTGTAACATATATAGTGCACTACTTTTAACCAGGAACCCTGGCCAAAAGTAGTGCACTACATAGGGAATAGGGTGCCATTTAGCAAGCAAACCATGTACTCAATGATCCGTGTCCACAAATAGAGCTCCATCATCCTCCCTTCACACACACACACACACACACACACACACACACACACACACACACACACACACACACACACACACACACACACACACACACACACACACACACACACACACACACACACACACACACACACACACACACACACACACACACACACACACACACACACACACACACACACACACACACACACACACACACACACACACACACAAACACACAACCTGTATGCATAACACCAGGCGTTATTCACTTCAACTGAAGCAAAGTATACATATCTCTCACCCAGAGCTCACCCAGAGCTCACCCAGGGCCGTGGGTCTTAAAGGAGCAGCATCTCTCACCCAGAGCTCACCCAGAGCTCACCCAGGGCCGTGGGTCTTAAAGGAGCAGTAGCCCTCACCCAGAGCTCACCCAGGGCCGTGGGTCTTAAAGGAGCAGCAGCCCTCACCCAGAGCTCACCCAGGGCCGTGGGTCTTAAAGGAGCAGCAGCCCTCACCCAGAGCTCACCCAGAGCTCACCCAGGGCCGTGGGTCTTAAAGGAGCAGTAGCCCTCACCCAGAGCTCACCCAGAGCTCACCCAGGGCCGTGGGTCTTAAAGGAGCAGTAGCCCTCACCCAGAGCTCACCCAGAGCTCACCCAGGGCCGTGGGTCTTAAAGGAGCAGTAGCCCTCACCCAGAGCTCACCCAGAGCTCACCCAGGGCCGTGGGTCTTAAAGGAGCAGTAGCCCTCACCCAGAGCTCACCCAGAGCTCACCCAGGGCCGTGGGTCTTAAAGGAGCAGTAGCCCTCACCCAGAGCTCACCCAGGGCCGTGGGTCTTAAAGGAGCAGTAGCCCTCACCCAGAGCTCACCCAGGGCCGTGGGTGTTAAAGGAGCAGCCATGTTTGTACAGTATACACACAGAGTCTCATATAGAACGTATGGTTGGACATATAGAGCTGAAAGGTGCTCTGTGGGAAAGCCACATGTTACTCGGAGCCAGAGTGTTGGTCCTGCACACGTTGAGGGAACCAGAGACTTCTACCAGCAAGAGCTCGTGCCAAGTAGGACACTTTAATATGCTGCGCTGGCAGGAGACCAACTGCTTAGTGTAAAATACAGCTCCCTCAGGCAGATATAGAGCACCGCTTTCACTGATTAACTGACCCAACAAAGAGTATTTCTCTGTTTCACTAATATCTTACTATCCAACATTGGACACTTTCTTTTCAGTAGGCCTGTCATAACAGTACTTTGAGTTTGAAAGCTGCAGTATATTCGAATGGACGGATTAGATTTTTTAATATCACCGTGGGTGGTACTATATTTATTTTGTTCCCCTTTTCCCGGAGATATTGAGTGCCGTTGAAATGAAAGCGTTGTAAAAAAAAATATATATAATTCTCACAGTTCAAATAGGTGTTCAAATAGGTGTTTGTTAGAATGACACTACTGGGAGCTCCACAGTGAGTCACTGAAAGCGTTTGAACTGATTTGACTAACACCGTCTTTTCAAGTTACCTTGTAATAATAATCTACATGTAAATGTAACAGTCATAATACAAACAGACATATCATGACAGATAGGCAGTTGCATCCCACTGGGCACACATTGGTTGAATCAACATTTTTTCCATTACGTTGAACCAACATGGACTAGACATTGAATTGACCTCTGTGTGTGATGGGTGATTTGAAGGAGTCAGGCGCAGGAGGGTAAATCACAGAATACAGAGTTTATTCCGGAATACAGAGTTACGCAGAAATGCGTCAAACAGTCCAGTGGCAAAACAGGCGCACTGGAACCAAACAGGCACACGGGGAAAATATACACCGGCAATACAAAATACACGGAGCTCAACCGAGCTACTCTCTCCTCACATTAAACAATCAGCCACAAGGACAAGGGGGGCAGAGGGAACACTTATACATGTACTAATGAGGGGATATGAACCAGGTGTGTGTAATAAACAAGACAAAACAAATGGAATGATGAGATGAGGAGCGGCAGTGGCTAGAAGGCGGGTGACGACGAGCGCTGAAGCCTGCCCGAACAAGGAGAGGAGGCAGCTTCAGAGGAAGTCGTGACACTGTGCCCAGTGGCCTAGCTCTTAACACACGACAGATAGACTGACAATGCTATCATAATTATCAACTTAGGCATTGTTATTCAAGTGTGAAATATGGTTTAGCTGAGAAGCTCCTGCATAATTTCAATAGAAAGCCTATTTTGTTTGTCCATATAGGACGTTTGTTTTTTTGCTGAGTTGACGGACCCTCCACCTCCAAACGCCCCCTTTTTCAGGACCCTGTCGCAAAGATAATTCGTGAAAAATCCAAATAACTTCACAGATCTTCATTGTAAAGGGTTTAAACACTGTTTCCCATGCTTGTTCAATTAACCATAAACAATTAATGAACATGCACCTGTGGAACGGTCGTTAAGACACTAACAGCTTACAGACGGTAGGCAATTAAGGTCACAGTTATGAAAACTTAGGACACTAAAGAGGCCTTTCTACTGACACTGTAAAAACACCAAAAAGAAAGATGCCCAGGGTCCCTGCTTATCTGCGTGAACGTGCCTTAGGCATGCTGCAAGGAGGCATGAGGACTGCAGATGTGGCCAGGGCAATAAATTGCAATGTCCGTACTGTGAGACGCCTAAGACAGTTGACAGTGAGAGGAAGTTTCTTTTTTTGCTGAGTTTAGTATGGTGTTTACGGTTTGTTAATTACACATTCAGTGTGAATGTGGCTTTGGCCACACCACTTTCAAGGTTAATGTAAGGATAGGTTAAACAGAAAAGTTGTAAAACTGATGTTGAAGAAAGGCAGATCTTCACATATTTTGTTAGTGTAAACAGTCCATATATTTAATTGTCCTCATTCTGTGTTCCAGTTTTGAATGGCCACTGCAGGTCCTTACGGGGGAAGGAGCTCATCCTGAGGCCCAGAGGGAGAGAGGCTGTCCAGGCCAGAGAGAGGGCTGAGCGGGGAGAGGCCCGGAGGGAGCACCACAGGACCTCTAAAGGACCCCCAGCCAGGAACTCCGGCACCACCCACAGCCTTCGCCACAGCAGGCCCACCCAGGAGCACCCAAAGCAGGTACACCAGGGAGACACGGATGGGCTGGGATGGAGAGTACCTGGACTGAATCCCAAATGGCATTCTATTGAAAATTCTCTATGTAGTGTACTACTTTTGACCACCGCCTATAGGGCTTTGGACAAAAGTGGTGCACTATATAGGGAATAGGGTGCCATTTGGGACAGATTCAGTGTGTATCTTAATGGTCTGATGCCAGCGTGCCAGTCTGTTAGTGTTGGCCCCAGTAGACCATCGCTGCTGGAGGGTTTACATTTCCTGTCCTCCTGGTACAGCTTCCTGTTGGCTACAGGCATGTTGATCTCTCTCTCTCTCTCTCTCTCTCTCTCTCTCTCTCTCTGTCTCTCTCTGTCTCTCTCTCTGTCTCTCTCTCTCTCTCTCTCTGTCTCTCTCTCTCTCTCCTCTCTCTCTCTCTCTCTCTCTCTCTCTCTCTCTCTCTCTCTCTCTCATAAACCAGACTTCCCCTTCCCCTCTGCCGTAACTAACCCCTCAATGTTTACAGATCTGATCTGTAAGGTTTAAGGAAGCAATATGGTGGAAACTCCACTACACTGCTGACATAGTCTGGTACACATTGTTCTGTATGGCACTGGGAGCAGTGATGCCCTCTGGTGGGCGGAGTGGGATAGTTCCTAATTATTCCCAGCAACTCTAAGCCACTCCCTGACACACACAGACACCTTATGCAGAGGAATAATACTGACAGTTACTGGCTTTATGTACATAACCTTGGCAGACATACATCATTAAGGATATTTAGCATGAGTGCTATTTCAAACACATTCCAATTTGGGTCTTCCGTCATTCAGGTCTGTGACCCAAATGGCACCCTATTCCCTATATAGTGCACTACTTTTGATTGGTGCCCTATGAGCTCTGGCCAAAAGTAGCGCACTATATAGGGAATAGGATGCCATTTGGGACGCAGATCTGATCTCCTTTGTGCATCTGCTGTTGTATAGGAGGGGTGCCAGAAGCCTCTCCCTGTCCTTGGCAAACCAACAGGTGACAGATTGTCAGGTGTCCTGTCCACCTTGGACTGGAACTAATCAACCACACCTCAGTAAGAGGAGATCTGAATTCTGTAATGTTCCAGTACTGTGTATGCTCAGATTAAAACGTGGACCGATGGTCAATGATAAAATGTATAGCAGCACTAGATATAGAAGGAGAGGACATACTGTAGCGAGGTACAAATGATGATGTGTGAGATTTCCCAAATTACTTTATTTTTGATAATCCTACTTTTGTCTATTGCAGGTTTCAAAAGTGAACAGGCTGTCGCGGGTATCGTCAGCTACTGTACGCAACTCCTGTGCCAAAAAGCCCCCGGCCTCCCGAACACTGCCGTCCAGAACTGTGAAGTCCACAGCCGCAGCGCTTCCCAGGGGCCACATCCCCTACACCAAAGCCAGACTTCTCAAAGAGGCCAAACTCACACTGGGCAAAAGAGCCTCCTCCAAAGCTCGCCAACCCGTGAAGACCCACCGCCGCCCTCACCCTCGCACACCACACTCCAACTCAGGAAAAGCCTCAAGCGGCGATGCAAAGACTCCCAACAAACAGGAGGTACAATCCAACAAGGCAGCCGGCGGGTGTTGCCTACAGCGAGTCAACAGGCAGCTTCACCCATGCCGATGTGGCGGTCAGCAGGTACTGCAGGGGCGTGAGGGCGTCAGACACTCCAAGAGACGTCTGGGGCTCCCGGCTGAGGAGTGTCCGACAGAAACACCGGAGTCTTCAACGGAGGTCAAAAAGGTCAGACTGCAGGTCAACGCCCCGGAGACGCGAAGCAGCAGGAAGGTCAACGTCCAGGAGAAGGCTGTGGCGGTGTCAGGCGGCCATCTTGGTAAGGTCACGTCATCCCGACCTTCCTCCTCGGAGCGAAGACCGAAACGAGCCTCCGCTGGCACGCTGATGTTGACCCGACAGGCACAGCCCATACCCCCTATTGCTAATACTACTACTACTACTACTACTGCTACTACACCACCAGCTAATAACACTACTTCTAAGAAAACTTTCCAGGCCACTTCCAAGAACACTTCCCAGGGAACTTCCAAGAGCACTTCCACCTCCACTTCCTCTACCTCAGCAGCCAAGGTCAAACCAGGCACCAGCAGCCCAGCTAAAGCAGCAGCAGAACCTAAAGCAGCAGAGAGGCAGCGGGGACAGCGGGGGTAGTGGGGAGAAGAGAGGTGCAGCACCACCCCCGTCCCTGTCCCTAACCGAGGTGCCAGTGTTCAGACCCAGTCTGGAGGAGTTCCAGGACCCCCTGGTGTACGTGGAGGCGGTGCGGGTGCAGGCAGAGAGCTATGGGCTGTGCAGGGTGGCGCCCCCTCAGGACTGGAGGCCAGAGTGCAAGCTGAAGGAGGACATGAGGTTTGTGACCCAGGTGCAGCACATCCATAAGCTGGGTCGGCGCTGGGGGTCCAACGTACTCAGGCTGGCCTGCATCAGGAAACACCTCCAGGCCCAGGGTATCTCCATGGAAGACCCACCGCTCATAGGTACATTTCTGCAAGACTGATACTTAGGTTGCGTCCCAACTACTTTTGACCAGAGCCCTATGGGGGTCCTATGGACCCTGGTCAAAAGTAGTGCACTATATAGGGGAAAGGGTGCCATTTGGGTGCCACTAATGTTTAATGTAAAATACATTTTGGGAGCAGACACATCATGTTATTCTAGTACAGTTTTACTTTATTCTAATACAGTTTCATGTTATTCTAGTACAGTTTTACTTTATTCTAATACAGTTTCATGTTATTCTAGTACAGTTTTACTTTATTCTAATACAGTTTCATGTTATTCTAGTACAGTTTTACTTTATTCTAATACAGTTTCATGTTATTTGAGTACAGTTTTACTTTATTCTAATACAGTTTCATGTTATTCTAGTACAGTTTCATGTTATTCTAGTACAGTTTCATGTTATTCTAGTACAGTTTCATGTTATCCTAGTACAGTTTTACTTTATTCTAGTACAGTTTCATGTTATTCTAATACAGTTTCATGTTATCCTAGTACAGTTTCATGTTATCCTAGTACAGTTTTACTTTATTCTAGTACAGTTTTACTTTATTCTAGTACAGTTTCATGTTATTTGAGTACAGTTTAACTTAATTCTAGTACAGTTTAACTTTATTCTAATACAGTTTAACTTTATTCTAGTACAGTTTCATGTTATTCTAGTACAGTTTCATGTTATTCTAGTACAGTTTCATGTTATTCTAGTACAGTTTCACTTTATTCTAATACAGTTTCATGTTATTCTAGTACATAGGTCCTCACAACTCTACAATGAGTGGCTATCTATCAGTTTCCTCTTGTTAGTGTGCTCTACTATAGTCAAAAGGGCTGCTCCCAAATGACCTCTGACCCATCTCTCATCCTGACCTCTGACCCATCTCGCATTCTGACCTCTGACCTCCCTCTCATCCTGACCTCTGACCCACCTCTCATCCTGGACCTCTGACCCACCTCTCATCCTGACCTCTGACCCACCTCTCATCCTGACCTCTGACCCACCTCTCATCTCATCCTGACCTCTGAACCACCTCTCATCCTGACCATCTTGCCCATTGGCTGCTGCTGATTGCTCTAAGTGTGTTTGTTAGTGAGACCTTGACTGACCTTCCTAGTGAGGAAGGATTACAGTTCCTCTGCCAGCTGGCAGCTTTGATGAGATTACACTGGGAGAGATGGGGCTGTCAGGATGCCCGACACACACACCACACACACACACACACACACACACACACACACACACACACACACACACACACACACACACACACACACACACACAAACAAACCACACACACACCACAAACACACGCACACACCAACCATTTTTTGAGCAAGGAGACCCCATACAGCCAAGCTATGGTGAAAAGGGAAGACAGACAGATTGTCTTCAGTGATCTTTTTCCTACTACAACATTATAATGGTTCAGTATATTACCCACCATGCTGTGCTCTGATGGGACTTCTCATGAGTAGAGTAGCTCACGCACACTGGTACTGGTCTGGGGGTTGTCAGAGTGTGTGTGTCTGTGTGTGTGTGTGTGTCTGTGTGTGAGTGTGTGTGAGAGTGTGTGTGTGAGAGTAGGTGTGTGTGACAGTGTGTGTGTTTGTGTGTGTGTGAGAGTATGTGAGAGTGAGTGTGTGTGACAGTAAGTGTGTGTGAGAGTGTGTGTGAGTGTGTGTGTGAGAGTGAGTGTGTGTGTGAGAGTGTGTGTGTGTGTGTGTGTGAGAGTGATTGTGTGAGAGTGTGTGTGTGTGAGAGTAGGTGTGTGTGACAGTGTGTGTGTTTGTGTGTGTGTGAGAGTGTGTGTGTGTGAGAGTGTGTGTGAGAGTGTGTGAGAGTGAGTGTATGTGACAGTGAGTGTGTGTGAGAGTGTGTGTGTGTGAGAGTGAATGTGTGTGAGTGTGTGTGTGTGTGTGTGAGAGTGTGTGTGTGAGTGAGCGTGTGAGAGTGACAAATGGGGAAGGTCTGTAAGGGGTTTTACAGGCAGCAGACACCATGGGGAGGAAGAGCAGAAGAGATATCAGCTGGGTCTCAAATGACACACTATTCCCTATATACTGCACTACTTTTGACCAGGGCCCAGAGGAGTTCTATAGGGAATAGGGTGCCATTTGGGACTTAGCCGTTCTCTCTCTCAGGCTCCAATACCTACAGGCCTCTGCTTTGTCAGAGTGGGCCTCAACATCAAATAGGATAATGGCTGTCTAAACCAGGCTGTCCTGTCTAACAGAGCCGTATCATTCATTCGTCAGACATCCACAGTCTCGCATGTAGAATATTTGGGTGTAATTAGTTTGCAAGCTTATTGTAAATGTAGTGATTTGTAGTGAACGTTGCTGCTTATTCAGACTCCATGTTTATCAGCCCCATCGGTCCTCTCTATATCGTCACAGGTGCATACATCCATTAACCAGTGTTCTTCTATCTTGGTCATGGGGACCCACTGGGTGTGCATGCTTTTGTTCCAGCCCTGTGCTAATACAACAAATCAACCAATCATTATTAAGCCATGTGGGTTCCCAGAACCAGGATTAAAGAACATTGTTTTAACCTCCTTGTTCTGTGTTCCCTCTCACCCTCCTTCACTCCCTCTCTATCCTCCCTCCCTCCCTCTCACCCTCCTTCACTCCCTCCTATCCTCCCTCCCTCCCTCTCACCCTCCTTCACTCCCTCTCTATCCTCCCTCCCTCCCTCTCACCCTCCTTCACTCCCTCTCTATCCCCCTCCCGCCCTCTCACACCCTCCTTCACCTTCCCCTCTCTATCCTCCTCCCTCGCGTCCCTCTCATCCCTCCCTTCACTCCCTCTCTATCCTCCCTCCCTCCCTCCCTCCTCACCCTCCTGTCACTCCCCTCTATCCTCCCTCCCCTGCTCCCTCCCTCTCACCCTCCTTCACTCCCTCATCTAATCCGCCCTCCCCCCTCTCACCCTCCTTCACTCCCTCTCTATCCTCCCTCCCTCCCTCTCACGCCCCTCCTCTTCCTCCACATCCTCCCCCTCACCTTCTCACTCCCTCCCTCCCTGCCCAGGCGGCTGTGAGTTAGACCTGGCCCGGTTCTTTCAGCTCATCAACGACATGGGCGGCATGCAGCAGGTCAGCGACATGAAGAAATGGAGTAAGCTAGCCGACCAGCTCCGTATCCCCAAGACTGCGCAGGTACTGTACCGCTTCAAGGTTGGGTCCCAAATCGCATAAACGGCACCCTGTTCCCTACATAGTAGACTGCTTTTGACCAGGACCCATAAGGCTCTGGCCTACTATATAGGGAATAAGGGGCCATTTGGTACCCAGCCACCTTGTGTTGACCATGATGCTGTTCTGTAACAAGCACTTCTTTCCAGCATCCATGTCTTGTAGTGTTTCATCTACACCTGAAGTGGGTCATGTTTTTTATTCTACCTTTTTATTTGAGACTGACTACTGATGAAAACCAACTGCCAGCCCAGCTAGCTGCATAGCTAAGTACAGCACTTTGACATTTGATGTGAACACTAACCTATGCCCACCCTGTCAACCTTCAAATGCAACGTAATAATGCCCTACCACCCAAACCACAGGATCGTCTGGCCAAGCTGCAGGAGGCCTACTGCCAGTACCTACTGTCCTACGACTCCCTGGACCCCGCTGAGCGCTCCCGCCTGGAGAGGGAGGTGCTGGAGGAGAAGGGGAGGCTGGAGAAGAGGAGGGGGCCCCTGGAGGGCCACCCAGATGACTCCCAACAGAGCCTGCTCCAGTTGCCCCGCTGTGAGCCCAAGAATGGCCTGGTAAACGGGGTGGTGCAGAGGAACGGCCTGCCCAGGAGCCTGGAGGAAGGAGAGAGAGAGGTGAAGAAACAGGAGGAGATGTGGCTGAGGTCCAGCAGGAGGAGGCTGTTCGCTCAGGAGAAGAAAGGAGGAGCGGAGGAGGAGGAAGGGGTTCTCAGCGACCAGCACAAGTGTATATACAGGGTAGGTCATTTCAGCCTGTCTCTGGCCCTGTACACACTCAGGTTGAACAACTGATGTTTAGCCCAACAAATTTAGCACAACAAATGTGATACAACAGAGTTTTTCTGGACAAAAAATAATTACACAAGCATAGTGGAGGCACTACACAACGCTTGTGTAAATATTGTTGCGCAAACGTGTGTGAAGAATCTATTGGTAGCAGAGTCTATTGGTTAATGAGCTCTGTGGTAGCTGTGTGTGTGCAGAGTGAATACAGTGCAGCACTGTCAATACAGTCTATTGGTTAATGAGCTCTGTGGTAGCTGTGTGTGTGCAGAGTGAATACAGAGCAACACTGTCAATACAGTGTGTATAGCTGTTAGTGCCTGGAGGCAGAACTACACTATCCCTGGTTCAGTTGCTCTCACATCTAATATAGGTCACTGCACATCTGCAAGCACAGAGGCCAAACACACAATCAGACACACGCGCGCACACACACCTCATTTTGACAACACGTCACCCCATGTCAACTTATCACTGTCAGTATTTCTGTCTTCATGCTCCATGATGCTCTTCTGTTGCTCACAGTTCTCTTATAAGTAGTATCAGTTAGTTCTGCTGTAGTATCAGTTAGTTATCCTGTAGGATCAGTTAGTTCTGCTGTAGGATCAGTTAGTTCTGCTGTAGTATCAGTTAGTTCTGCTGTAGGATCAGTTAGTTCTGCTGTAGTATCAGTTAGTTCTCCTGTAGTATCAGTTAGTTCTCCTGTAGTATCAGTTAGTTATCCTGTAGGATCAGTTAGTTCTGCTGTAGTATCAGTTAGTTCTCCTGTAGTATCAGTTAGTTCTCCTGTAGTATCAGTTAGTTCTCCTGTAGTATCAGTTAGTTCTCCTGTAGTATCAGTTAGTTCTCCTGTAGTATCAGTTAGTTCTACTGTAGTATCAGTTAGTTCTCCTGTAGTATCAGTTAGTTCTCCTGTAGTATCAGTTAGTTCTCCTGTAGTATCAGTTAGTTCTCCTGTAGTATCAGTTAGTTCTCCTGTAGTATCAGTTAGTTCTACTGTAGTATCAGTTAGTTCTACTGTAGTATCAGTTAGTTCTGCTGTAGTATCAGTTAGTTCTCCTGTAGTATCAGTTAGTTCTCCTGTAGTATCAGTTAGTTCTCCTGTCCTGTAGTATCAGTTAGTTCTCCTGTAGTATCAGTTAGTTCTGCTGTAGTATCAGTTAGTTCTCCTGTAGTATCAGTTAGTTCTCCTGTAGTATCAGTTAGTTCTCCTGTAGTATCAGTTAGTTCTCCTGTAGTATCAGTTAGTTCTCCTGTAGTATCAGTTAGTTTTGCTGTAGTATCAGTTAGTTCTCCTGTAGTATCAGTTAGTTCTCCTGTAGTATCAGTTAGTTCTCCTGTAGTATCAGTTAGTTCTCCTGTAGTATCAGTTAGTTCTCCTGTAGTATCAGTTAGTTCTCCGGTAGTATCAGTTAGTTCTCCTGTAGTATCAGTTAGTTCTACTGTAGTATCAGTTAGTTCTCCTGTAGTATCAGTTAGTTCTCCTGTAGTATCAGTTAGTTCTCCTGTAGTATCAGTTAGTTCTCCTGTAGTATCAGTGTCACACTCTGGCTCTGGGACTTTTTAGGTTGAGTCAGGGTGTGTAGATTTCCGTGTGTTTTGTACTGTGTTTAGTGTCTAGGTGTTCTCGTTCTATGTTTGGTCAGTGACTCCCAATCGGAGGTAACGAGTGTCAGCTGTCGGCTCGTTATCTCTGATTGGGAGCCATATTTAAACTGTCTGTGTTCACCTTGTGGTTGTGGGTTTTTGTTCCGTGTTCCTGTTCAGTCATTGTCACTGTGGACTTCACGTATCGTCATTTGTTTTGTGGTTTTCGTGTTAAGCTTTATTTAATAAAGTCATGTTCGCTCAACGCGCTGCGCTTTGGTCTACTCCTTACCAAGACGATCGTGACAGAAAAACCCACCTTAACCAGACCAAGCAGCGTGTTCAGGAGCCATCGCTGGCAGATCGCCGTGGAAACCTCGACTGGATCAAGCAGCGGGACGAGGAGAGAGGATGGACGTGGCAGGAGATGATTGCGAGTCTGGCAAGAGGGAGAGAGGCCTGGGCCACGGGGAGGAGAGACCCCCAGGAAATTTTTAGGGGGGGGCTCACGACGTCGGGGCAGCAGGTGTACGGGTTAGAGCGGTGCAAAGCGTTGGCAGAGAGGGCCGCCAGGTTAGGGGGGCCACTGGGCACAGAGGAGAGGGAAAGTGTGGAGGCACGGCGAGGGGTACTGGGATGTGTTACCAGTCCGGTCCGGCCCGTTCCTGATCCCTGCGTGGAGCCAGTGGTGTGTGTCCCCAGTACGGTTCGGCCTGTTCCTGCCATTCCCACCAAGGCAGTGGTGCGCGTCGTCAGCCCAGCCCGGCCTGTTCCTGCTTTACGCACAAAGCCTACGGTGTGCGTCGCCAGCCCAGCCCGGCCTGTTCCTGCTCCACGTACGAAGCCTACGGTGTGCGTCGCCAGCCCAGCCCGGCCTGTTCCTGCTCCACGCACCAAGCCTACGGGGTGCGTCTCCAGCCCAGCCCGACCTGTTCCTGCCACTCGCACCAAACCTACGGTGCGCGTCGCCAGCCCGGCCCGGCCTGTTCCTGCCACTCGCACCAAGCCAAGGGTGCGAGTCGTCAGCCTGGTCCAGCCCGTTCCTGCTACTCGCACCAAGCCAAGGGTGCGAGTCGTCAGCCTGGTCCAGCCCGTTCCTGCTACTCGCACCAAGCCAAGGGTGCGAGTCGTCAGCCTGGTCCAGCCCGTTCCTGCTACTCGCACCAAGCCAAGGGTGCGAGTCGTTAGCCTGGTTCAGCTCGTCCCTGCTACTCGCACCAAGCCAAGGGTGCGAGCCGTCAGCCTGATCCAGCCCATTCCTGTTACTCGCACAAAGCCAGGGATGCGAGTCGTCAGCCTGGTGAGGCCCGTTCCGGCTCTACGCATCAAGCCTAGGGTGCGTATCGTCAGCCAGGTCCGGTCCGTTCCTGCCTCACGCGCCAAGCCAGGGGTGCGCGTCGTCAGTCCAGATCCTACCAGCTGGGTCAGATCGGACCGGGGGCGCTACGGGGGGATTGAAGAAGGGTGGTGGTCAAGCCCGGAGCCGGAGCCGCCTCCGAGGAGCAACACCCACCCAGCCCTCCCCTATTTGGGGTGTAGGCGCGGTCGGAGTCCGCGCCTTTAGGGGGGGGTACTGTCACACTCTGGCTCTGGGACTTTTTAGGTTGAGTCAGGGTGTGTAGATTTCCGTGTGTTTTGTACTGTGTTTAGTGTCTAGGTGTTCTCGTTCTATGTTTGGTCAGTGACTCCCAATCGGAGGTAACGAGTGTCAGCTGTCGGCTCGTTATCTCTGATTGGGAGCCATATTTAAACTGTCTGTGTTCACCTTGTGGTTGTGGGTTTTTGTTCCGTGTTCCTGTTCAGTCATTGTCACTGTGGACTTCACGTATCGTCATTTGTTTTGTGGTTTTCGTGTTAAGCTTTATTTAATAAAGTCATGTTCGCTCAACGCGCTGCGCTTTGGTCTACTCCTTACCAAGACGATCGTGACAATCAGTTAGTTCTCCTGTAGTATCAGTTAGTTCTCCTGTAGTATCAGTTAGTTCTCCGGTAGTATCAGTTAGTTCTCCGGTAGTATCAGTTAGTTCTCCTGTAGTATCAGTTAGTTCTCCTGTAGTATCAGTTAGTTCTCCTGTAGTATCAGTTAGTTCTACTGTAGTATCAGTTAGTTTTCCTGTAGTATCAGTTAGTTCTCCTGTAGTATCAGTTAGTTCTACTGTAGTATCAGTTAGTTCTGCTGTAGTATCAGTTAGTTCTCCTGTAGTATCAGTTAGTTCTCCTGTAGTATCAGTTAGTTTTCCTGTAGTATCAGTTAGTTCTCCTGTAGTATCAGTTAGTTCTACTGTAGTATCAGTTAGTTCTCCTGTAGTATCAGTTAGTTCTCCTGTAGTATCAGTTAGTTCTCCTGTAGTATCAGTTAGTTCTACTGTAGTATCAGTTAGTTATCCGGTAGTATCTGTTACAGTTCTCCTGTAATATCAATTACTTATAGCGTTTAATCTCTCCGTTTGACTTCCTACTTTTTTAATTAAACCTGGCTCGTAGGGAGTATTCTGTCTGTGAATGCCAGCATAGCTGGGTCCATATTAAATAAATATATTGGGCCATAATAAGAAATACAGCAATCTCCTCCACACATGTGGGAAAGCTTACAGTGACTGACTGTAGTCCAACAAACCAGGTATTGTCCTGGTGTCACGATCGTCTAAGGAGGAGGACCAAGGCGCAGCGTGATGAACAAACATACTTTAATTAGTTAAAGTTTAAACAATACAAAACAAGAAACGACTCGTGAAATCCACGGTATCAATGACCGAACACGGAACAAAAACCCACAAACACAAAGGGAAAACAGACAGTTTAAATATGGCTCCCAATCAGAGAGAACCAGCCAACAGCTGACACTCGTTGCCTCTGATTGGGAGTCACTCAGGCAAACATAGAATACAACAAACTAGAATGAACACCACAGAATGAACACACCCTGGCTCAACATATAGAGTCCCAGAGCCAGGGTGTGACAGTACCCCCCCCCTAAAGGCGCGGACTGCGACCGCGCCTCAACTAAACAAAACAGGGGAGGGCTGGGCGGGCATACCTCCTCGGCGGCGGTTCTGGCTCCGGCCTTGACCACCACCCTCCAATACACCCCCCATAGCGCCCCTGGTCCAGTCTGGCCCCGCCGGCTGGAGCCGAACTGGACTTAGCAGGAGCGGTTAGCTTCAGCTCCATAGTGGAGCAGTTGACCGGTACCTTACCAGGCACCGGTGACCCAGGCACGGGTTGTGCTGGACTGACGACGCGCACCCCTGGCTTGGTGCGTGGAGGAGGAACGGGCCTTACCAGGCTGACGACGCGCACCCCTGGCTTGGTGCGTGGAGGAGGGACGGGCCTTACCAGGCTGACGACTCGCACCCCTGGCTTGGTGCGTGGAGGAGGGACGGGCCTTACCAGGCTGACGACTCGCACCCCTGGCTTGGTGCGAGTGGCAGGAACAGGCCGGGTCGGGCTGGCGACGCGCACCGTATACTTGGTGCGAGTGGCAGGAACAGGCCGGGCCGGGCTGGCGACGCGCACCGTATACTTGGTGCGAGTGGCAGGAACAGGCCGGGCCGGGCTGGCGACGCGCACCGTATACTTGGTGCGAGTGGCAGGAACAGGCCGGGCCGGACTGGCGACGCGCACCGTATACTTGGTGCGAGTGGCAGGAACAGGCCGGGCCGGGCTGGCGACGCGCACCGTATACTTGGTGCGAGTGGCAGGAACAGGCCGGGCTGGCGACGCACACCGTAGGCTTGGTGCGTGGAGCAGGGACTGGCCGGACTGGGCTGGCGACGCACACCGTAGGCTTGGTGCGTGGAGCAGGGACAGGCCGGACCGGGCTGGCGACGCACACCGTAGGCTTGGTGCGTGGAGCAGGGACTGGCCGGACCGGGCTGGCGACGCACACCGTAGGCTTGGTGCGTGGAGCAGGGACTGGCCGGACTGGGCTGGCGATGCACACCGTAGGCTTGGTGCGTGGAGCAGGGACAGGCCGAACCGGGCTGTGGAGACGGATAGGAGCCCTGGAGTGAAGAGCGGCCACAACCCGTCCTGGCTGAATGCCTACCCTCACACACTCTGTGTGAGGCATCCGCACAGGACGTACAGGGCGGTGTATCCGTAACCTGGTGGCCTCCAGAATCCGCCCCTTCTTTGCCTCCGTCAGCCCCGTCGTCCATGCCGTGTGCCCCCCCCTAAAAATTTTCTGGGGTTGCCTCTCGACCGCCCGACGACGACCCTGATCACGCCGTTGCTCCTCTCTACGGCGCGCCTCCACCGTCTCTTCTCCCGGCGCTTCCTCCCATGTCCAGCCCAAGAGCTGCCCCTGGACACGCTGCTTGGTCGTTGCATGGTGGGTTTTTCTGTCACGATCGTCTAAGGAGGAGGACCAAGGCGCAGCGTGATGAACAAACATACTTTAATTAGTTAAAGTTTAAACAATACAAAACAAGAAACGACTCGTGAAATCCACGGTATCAATGACCGAACACGGAACAAAAACCCACAAACACAAAGGGAAAACAGACAGTTTAAATATGGCTCCCAATCAGAGACAACCAGCCAACAGCTGACACTCGTTGCCTCTGATTGGGAGTCACTCAGGCAAACATAGAATACAACAAACTAGAATGAACACCACAGAATGAACACACCCTGGCTCAACATATAGAGTCCCAGAGCCAGGGTGTGACACCTGGCACATTCATACAGGCTCTCAGTCCGTCTGTCCCTGCCTGGCTGTCTGTTGTGTGTCTGAGCTTACGTCCCAAATGGTGCCCAATTCCCTGTGTAGTGCACTACTTTTAACCAGGGCCCTTAGGGCTCTGATCAAAAGCAATGCACTATATAAGGGAACAGGGTGCCATTTAGGACACAACCTGAGAAAAGCCTCCGGATGGAAGACTCCCCTTCAGCAGCAGGAAGAGGAAGGAAGATGACTTCATGCAGCACAATGATATCCACATGTCTCATGTAGTTTTCACCCTCTCAAAGAAAGCTTTCTGTTCTTGGTCTGGCTGTTGAACTAACATCCACGTGTCTCATGTAGTTTTCACCCTCTCAAAGAAAGCCTTCTGTTCTTGGTATGGCTGTTGAACTAACATCCACATGTCTCATGTAGTTTTCACCCTCTCAAAGAAAGCCTTCTGTTCTTGGTCTGGCTGTTGAACTAACATCCACGTGTCTCATGTAGTTTTTACCCTCTCAAAGAAAGCCTTCTGTTCTTGGTCTGGCTGTTGAACTAACATCCATGTGTCTCATGTAGTTTTCACCCTCTCAAAGAAAGCCTTCTGTTCTTGGTCTGGCTGTTGAACTAACATCCACATGTCTCATGTAGTTTTCACCCTCTCAAAGAAAGCTTTCTGTTCTTGGTCTGGCTGTTGAACTAACATCCACGTGTCTCATATAGTTTTCACCCTCTCAAAGAAAGCTTTCTGTTCTTGGTCTGGCTGTTGAACTAATATCCACATGTCTCATGTAGTTTTCACCCTCTCAAAGAAAGCCTTCTGTTCTTGGTCTGGCTGTTGAACTAACATCCACATGTCTCATGTAGTTTTCACCCTCTCAAAGAAAGCCTTCTGTTCTTGGTCTGGCTGTTGAACTAACATCCACATGTCTCATGTAGTTTTCACCCTCTCAAAGAAAGCTTTCTGTTCTTGGTCTGGCTGTTGAACTAACATCCACGTGTCTCATGTAGTTTTCACCCTCTCAAAGAAAGCTTTCTGTTCTTGGTCTGGCTGTTGAACTAATATCCACGTGTCTCATGTAGTTTTCACCCTCTCAAAGAAAGCCTTCTGTTCTTGGTCTGGCTGTTGAACTAACATCCACATGTCTCATGTAGTTTTCACCCTCTCAAAGAAAGCCTTCTGTTCTTGGTCTGGCTGTTGAACTAACATCCACATGTCTCATGTAGTTTTCACCCTCTCAAAGAAAGCTTTCTGTTCTTGGTCTGGCTGTTGAACTAACATCCACATGTCTCATGTAGTTTTCACCCTCTCAAAGAAAGCCTTCTGTTCTTGGTCTGGCTGTTGAACTAACATCCACATGTCTCATGTAGTTTTCACCCTCTCAAAGAAAGCCTTCTGTTCTTGGTCTGGCTGTTGAACTAACATCCACATGTCTCATGTAGTTTTCACCCTCTCAAAGAAAGCCTTCTGTTCTTGGTCTGGCTGTTGAACTAACATCCACGTGTCTCATGTAGTTTTCACCCTCTCAAAGAAAGCCTTCTGTTCTTGGTCTGGCTGTTGAACTAATATCCACGTGTTTCATGTAGTTTTCACCCTCTCAAAGAAAGCCTTCTGTTCTTGGTCTGGCTGTTGAACTAATATCCACGTGTCTCATGTAGTTTTCACCCTCTCAAAAAAAGCCTTCTGTTTTTGGTCTGGCTGTTGAACTAACATCCACGTGTCTCATGTAGTTTTCACCCTCTCAAAGAAAGCCTTCTGTTTTTGGTCTGGCTGTTGAACTAACATCCACGTGTCTCATGTAGTTTTCACCCTCTCAAAGAAAGCCTTCTGTTTTTGGTCTGGCTGTTGAACTAACATCCACGTGTCTCATGTAGTTTTCACCCTCTCAAAGAAAGCCTTCTGTTCTTGGTCTGGCTGTTGAACTAACATCCACGTGTCTCATGTAGTTTTCACCCTCTCAAAGAAAGCCTTCTGTTCTTGGTCTGGCTGTTGAACTAATATCCACGTGTCTCATGTAGTTTTCACCCTCTCAAAGAAAGCCTTCTGTTCATGGTCTGGCTGTTGAACAAACATCCACATGTCTCATGTAGTATTCACTCTCTCAAAGAAAGCCTTCTGTTCTTGGTCTGGCTGGAACTAACATCCACGTGTCTCATGTAGTTTTCACCCTCTCAAAGAAAGCCTTCTGTTCTTGGTCTGGCTGTTGAACTAACATCCATGTGTCTCATGTAGTTTTCACCCTCTCAAAGAAAGCCTTCTGTTCATGGTCTGGCTGTTGAACTAACATCCACATGTCTCATGTAGTATTCACCCTCTCAAAGAAAGCCTTCTGTTCTTGGTCTGGCTGTTGAACTAACATCCACGTGTCTCATGTAGTTTTCACCCTCTCAAAGAAAGCCTTCTGTTCTTGGTCTGGCTGTTGAACTAACATCCACGTGTCTCATGTAGTTTTCACCCTCTCAAAGAAAGCTTTCTGTTCTTGGTCTGGCTGTTGAACTAACTCCCCCATCTGGTCGGCTGTGATAATCGTTACATTGACAGTGGGTTGCGTCCCAAATCGCATCCTATTCCCTTTCTAGTGCACTACTTTTGACCAGAGCCTGTTCAAAAGTAGGGTGCCATTTGGGACGGAGGCAATGTATCAAAGGACATAAAAGACTACTTCCTGTGTGGTCTTACTCGTCTCTGTGGTTGTGTTTCTGTGTCATTACATTGACTGTACATCAAGACACCTCAGTCCATCAGCTTTTACCCTCTTTGTTTGTGTCCATGATTTGCTGTGATAATCTTTACATTGACTTTATATCAAGGGAACTTGAAAGGGACCATAAGGTCTTACCCCTCTCTTTGTGTTTCTCTGTGGCAGGGGAAGTCGGTTTCTCTCACTACGTTCTACAGGACTGCCAGGAATACTATGAACATGTGCTTCAACAAGGAGCCTGGGACGGCTGAGGTGGAGGTAAAGTCTACGTATCCTAAACTACATAGGTTGCACTACTTAGGGCCCTATTCAGATTTCAGACTTGAGAGAAGTTGACTTTAACATGGACTTAAATCAAAACGTTTTGATTTGTCCATATTTTATTGACTTAAATCCATGTTAAGTCTACTTATTTCAAGTCTGAATCGGCCCTTAGTGCACTACTTTTGGTCAGGGCCCTGGTCAAAAGTAGTGCACTGTAAAGGGAATAGGGTGCTATTTGGGACGCATCCATATAATCATAAAGACTAAGTAGTATAATTCACTGTGACCATATGAAGTGTAACTGTGCCTTTGAGATGACTGAACAGGTCATTAACATATTCCTCCTCTCCTTTTGTCCATCTCAGCCATCCCACTGTGTGATCTAATATCACTACTTGTTATTCATCTACATTAATGTAACAAACGTTTCTGTCTGTGATTGCAGCAGGAGTACTGGAACATCGTGGAGCAGAGGGAATGTCACGTTGCAGTGCACTGTGGGAAAGTGGACACTAAAACTCATGGGAGTGGCTTCCCTGTTGGAAAGTCGGAGCCGTTTTCAAAGTAAGGGCCGATGCATTAGTTAACATGAGAACATAACAGCATTATCCTATCATATGAATTGAGGATTCTGAATATCCTGCTTATTCCCTCTTGATTCCGTGAATCTTCCAACTGGGATTTCTGGAAAACCTGGGAAAGTTACTGGAATTTTACAACCCTATGGACATGCATAAAATTATGTGTGTTCTGTGCTCTTGTCTCCACTCAAGACATGGATGGAACCTTACAGTCCTTCCCAATAATTCAGGATCCATCTTACGCCATCTTGGTGCTGTGCCAGGTACTCATCTATACCTCTGACCCTCTCATTTTACACAAGGACCACAGTCAATTGTAGTGTAATACAGACAGTTGTAGGTAGCTGCAGAGTGAACTGAAGGACTCTATCAGCTTAACAACAGTTCCTTGAATGTATGTTGCATTAAGTTTTTATCTATCCTCTTTTTATTGTCACACAATTCAATTGTATTCTGCTATGAATGAAGCGAACTTGAACATACTAGAAAAGCTTGGAAGCCTACTATGTCTTCCTCTGTGCGTCTACAGGAGTGACCATTCCGTGGCTGAACATCGGCATGGTCTTCTCTACCTCATGCTGGTCGCGAGACCATCATCGCCTTCCATACATTGATTACCTACACACTGGCGCTGACTGCATTTGGTAAGTAGTGCAGCCCTGCTCACTGCCCTGTCCCAGTTTAATCCTACTGTCACTCTGGTTCACCACCTGCCACAACCAATGGAGAACGAGCTCAGCATCAGGTAGTCAAGCCTGATCAAATAGAAGCAATGGGGATTCATTTAATAGAACTCCCTAAGCGTGGTCAGTACGGTGTGAAGGAAAAGCTGTATGGCTCAGTTGGTAGAGCATGGCGCTTGCAACGCCAGGATAGTGGGTTTGATTCTCTCGGCCATCCATACGTAGAATTTATGCATGACTGTAAGTCACTTTTGGATAAAACCCATCTGCTAAATGGCATATATTATTATATACATCAGGGATTCTTGAAAGATGTGACAATCTCAATTTTTCTTCCACAAATATTTGTCTTAATATTTGATAGACCAAATCATATATTTTGATAGACCAGCAATCACACCATGTAAAAGAACAACCTAATTATTTTATTTTCTTCTCATAAATTGCAACTAACTGTATTTATGTCAACTCCGTCAGACACCATAAAAGTCATTTGATTTTTACATTTATTGATCATCAAGTGTTTGAAGGCCTTGTTTAATTCTAACATTAGATTGTTCAAATATGAAATACAAATTTCCAAACTTATTTTAGTTTTATTTTATAACGCTATATAATGCTCCAGGGCTAATTTTGTTAGTATTTTGGCATGTTTTTCTAGATTCAGAACGTAAAACAACATAACGGAAACATTATCCCATATATCTAACACAGCAAATATGTCAATAGTTTAAGCATGTGTTGCAGAACAGGGATTAAAATATATTTCAGAATATTAACCCAAAAAAATCTTACGGGGGTTAGCCATCAGTGACGGAGTTGACAACAAATACTCAAAACAGACATATTTTCGACTCTAAAAATAAAAGTTCAATACAAATATTCGTAAAATATAGAAAATGATTCTTTCAGCACTCTGACGTAGTTGATGTTAGTCAAAAATATTTTTTTAGGGTTGTGACCGTGGTGATTTCTATATTGTTTGTTTAAATCGATCAAAAGTAGAGAACTTTCCAGACCATCGGTGTTCTTGTTGCACTACATGTAATGAGGACATGAATAAGGGGTCCTTATGGTATAGCTGACCCTGCTCATTCCTGATTCATTTAGGGTTTTAGACAAATCTGACGGAGTTGACCAAATATCTGGACACATTTTTTAGGAATCACAGTTTTGAGAGAAATATTATTTAAAGTCAGAGAGGGCTATTGCAAGAAACTATTGCCAGTTGTTAGAATTTTAAACACTTTTTTGGAGAGTTTGAAATTGGGATCATTTTCTCCAGACAATGGCATTTCCGGGCATAGAGCCAACATGGAAATGAATAATATTGAAAATATTTAGAAAATTCCAAAAGCAAATCTTTCCCCTTATAAAACTCCCCTTAAATGTAATTGTTAAGCTCAAATAATGCAACAAAGTAAAAAAAAAAACTGCTATAAAAATCAAGTTTCATTGCCGGACAAGGATATTGTTATTTACTAGTGCTGTTACGTGTCCACTATCTTGAACATGTCATCATATAGTGATACACAATTAGACCCTAATAATAACTCATGTAACCCGGGGTCCAGGTACTGTATTCCTGCTGAGGAGAAGATGAAGCTGGACAAGGTGGTTCACACACTGCTGCAGGCTAATGGAACCCCAGGACTGGAGATGTTGGAGAAGAACATCATGGTGAGACAGCAGGATACACAGGGAACACATACAGTATAAACATGGACTACATAAACACTGTGCCTACACACACAGGGCTCTGGTGAAAAGTACTGCACTATATAGGGAAACAGGGTGCAAGTAGTGCACTATATCGTGAATAGGGTGCCATTTGGGGTGCGGCCTTGGTCGTCAGGTAATATATGTTCTCTCTCTCCCTCCAGATCTCTCCGGAGGTGCTGTGTCGAGCGGGGGTCAAAGTGCACCGGACCGTCCAGCAGAGTGGCCAGTTCGTCGTCTGTTTCCCGGGAGCGTTCGTCTCCAAGGTGTGCTGTGGCTACAGCGTCTCCGAGACAGTGCACTTCGCCACCCCCCAGTGGCTGAACACGGGATACCAGGCTGCCAAGGTTGGAGCCCCCGTTGTATCAATACTTGAAGGAAAATACATTAGTTCAAAGAAGAGTATAGTTTAATTCAGAGCATAATTTATTATTATTATTATTATGTTACCTGCCATGCTAACATTACTGTAGTATTTAGTATATTGTCACTAGTGGTTGGCATTGGCATGTTAAATGTTTTCACAGATTAAGTTGTAAGATCAGTTTGTGTAGTTTATTGGTCTTCAGCATTATTACAGATTACTTTGCTGTTACAATAAATAAATAGATATATATTGTTAAATAAATAAGACAACTTCAAAATGCTATGTCTTTGCTAAAATTAACGAAAATCCATTTTCGTTTAGGAGTCTGACCACATAGAGAATGAGCTCCTGTACCAGTCCTGTACATCTTGGGGGTGGCCAGTTTGACTGAGTTCCAGTCCTGTACATCTTGGGGTGGCCAGTTTGACTGAGTTCCAGTCCTGTACATCTTGGGGTGGCCAGTTTGACTGAGTTCCAGTCCTGAAAGCTCCTCACGGAGGGGTGGTAACCAGGCTCTAAAGTCTGACTTAACCAGCTTCCTGGCAAAGTGAACGCATAGTTTAGTCAGTCAGTCAATCTGTCTTTTATCAGTCAGTCATTCAGATAGAGTGGACAAACGGAGGGCAGAGTGGCTCTGTGCACCCGGTGTTCCGCCGGTCAATTCAGTATCAAAGATTCTGTTATTCACATGGATCTTAGTTCCCTACACATCTACTGCATGAAAGGAGAGATTTGCGAGGGTTTACCAAAACTGAGCACACCCTTTAATCTGAACTGGGGGTATGTTGTGAAAAGGCCCTGTCATATCAACATTTTAACTATCTCTTACCTCTCCTCCCCAGGAGCTGAAATGTCGACGCATAGAGAGGTCCTTCTCTATGGAGAAGCTGCTGTACCAGATCGCAATGTCAGAATCTAAACGGGAGAATGGTCTCATTCCGAGAACCATGACCTCACTTCTCAAAGACCTCCGGTGGGTTTAACTATTTAACCGATGGCAGTATTATCATTGGAGATCACAGTCTCAATAGCAGTATTATCATTGGAGATCACAGTCTCAATAGCAGTATTATCATTGGAGATCACAGTCTCAATAGCAGTATTATCATTGGAGATCACAGTCTCAATAGCAGTATTATCATTGTAGATCACAGTATCATTGTAGATCACAATATCATTGTATATCACAGTATCAATAGCAGTATTATTGTAGATCACAGTATCATTGTAGATCACAGTATCATTGTAGATCACAGTATCAATAGCAGTATTATCATTGTAGATCACAGTATCATTGTAGATCACAGTATCATTGTAGATCACAGTATCAATAGCAGTATTATCATTGTAGATCACAGTATCATTGTAGATCACAGTATCAATAGCAGATCACAGTACCAATAGCAGTATTATTGTAGATCACAGTATTAATAGCAGTGTTATCATTGTAGATTGATCAATAGCAGTATTATCATTGTAAATTACAGTATCTTTGTAGATCACAGTATCATTTAGATCACAGTAATGGCAGTATTATCATTGTAGATTATAGTCGCAGTATTATAATTTTAGATCACAGTATCATTGTAGATCACAGTATCATTTAGATCACAGTATCATTAGCAGTATTATAATTGTAGATCACAGTATCATTGGAGATCACAGTATCATTTAGATCACAGTATCATTAGCAGTATTATAATTGTAGATCACAGTATCATTGGAGATCACAGTATCATTTAGATCACAGTCCCATCATACATAGAATGTAATGCTACTCTTAAAAGGGCAATCTTTTAAGAGTAGTTCACCCCACTACAACGCGTTCACCCCACCACCTGTTGGATAAACAGCTGTGGGATGGGGCTGGAGAAATGTAACCACTCTCAAGAAGTACAACATGTACCTATCGCAAATCGACCCTTTCAACAACTTAAAAAAAAAAAGGAAACAGTAGCCATTGATTACAGACGATACATTCGTCTGCTCCACCTGTTCCAGGGATACAGAGTTGAGACAGCGCAGGGATCTGTTTGACGCCGGCCTGCGGTCCGTTGCCCGCTACTGTAGCCATGACAATCAGGCCTCGTCAGAGAGCAGGAGGATCCAGCGCCAGTGGCTGAGGCTCGACCCCTCGGACCGACGCTGCCAGGTGTGCCAACATCTCTGCTACCTCTCCATGGTGAGTCGTTACTGGGCATGGAAGGTTGGGCACAAACATAGGCAGGGATTCAATCAAAGGCACGTTGTCGACAAGCACACTGCACGGCCAACAATGCGCCCGATGTTCGTGGAGATGGCATCGATGGTTAACTCTGCAGATGTGAGCTCAATCGTAAATGACCTGTAAAAAGACCTCTTGCCGGTAGTGCAGCACGCCTTTGAATGAATCCCTGTCTTACTTTATTGTCCCTGAAGGGAAAAGGTTGTGGTTATTGTATGTCCTGATGGCATGCTCCTCGTGTCCCTGCAGGTGGTCCAGGAGAGTGAGAACGTGGTGTTCTGTCTGGAGTGTGTCCTGCTGTACGTACAGAAACACAAGTCCTGCCGAGGCCTCAAAATGATGTACCGTTACGATGAGGTACTACACTACACTACACACTACACTACTACAGTATAATGCTACAGTACACTACACACTACTGCAGTACACTACTACAGTACACTACACACTACTACAGTACAGTACTACAGTATACTACAAACTACTACAGTACACTACACACACTACTACAGTACACTACTACAGTATAATGCTACAGTACACTACACACTACTGCAGTACACTACTACAGTATAATGCTACAGTACACTACACACTACTGCAGTACACTACTACAGTATAATGCTACAGTACACTACACACTACTGCAGTACACTACTACAGTATAATGCTACAGTACACTACTAGAGTATAATGCTACAGTATACTACAAACTACTACAGTACACTACACACTACTACAGTACACTACACACTACTACTGTACACTACTACACTACAACAGTACACTACTACAGTACACTACACTTAGACCACTCCTGAGTGGCGCAGTGGTCTAAGGCACTGCATCGCAGTGCTAACTGTGCCACTAGAGATCCTGGTTCGAATCCAGGCTCTGTCGCAGCCGGCCGCGACCGGGAGACTCATGGGCGGCGCACAATTGGCCCAGCGTCGTCCAGGGTAGGGGAGGGAATGGCCGGCAGGGATGTAGCTCAGTTGATAGAGCATGGCGTTTGCAACGCCAGGGTTGTGGGTTCGATTCCCACGGGGGACCAGTAAAAAAAAAAAAAAATGTATTCACTAACTATAAGTCGCTCTGGATAAGAGCGTCTGCTAAATGACTAAACTGTAACTGTAAACTACACACTACAACAGTACACTACACACTACTACCGTACACTACACTACAACAGTACACTACAACAGTACACTACTACAGTACACTACACACTACAACAGTACACTACTACCGTACACTACACACTACTACTGTACACTACACTACTTCAGTACACTACACAGTACACTACACACTACTACCGTACACTACACTACAACAGTACACTACTACCGTATACTACACACTACTACTGTACACTACTACAGTACACTACACACTACAACAGTACACTACTACAGTACACTTCACACTACTACAGTACACTACTACCGTACTACACACTACTACAGTACACTACACACTACTACCGTACACTACAACAGTACACTACTACTGTACACTACTACACTACTACAGTACACTACACACTACAACAGTACACTACTACAATACATTTACACACACTACAGTACACTACTACCGTACCTACACACTACTACCGTACACTACACTACACACTACTACCGTACACTATACACAACAACAGTACACTACACACTACTACCGTACTACACACTACTACCGTACACTACACTACTACAGTACACTACACACTACTACAGTACACTACACACTACTACAGTACACTACTACAGTACACTACACACTACTACCGTACACTACACTACTACAGTACACTACACACTACTAACAGTACACTATACCCACAACAAACAGTACACTACACACTACACACTACTACAGTACACTACACACTACTACAGTACACTACTACAGTACACTAGTACACTACACACTACTACAGTACTACAGTATACTACACACTACTACAGTATACTACACACTAGTACACTACACTACTACAGTACACTACACACTACTACAGTACACTACACACTACTACAGTACACTACACTACTACAGTACACTACACACTACTACAGCACACTGGTCTCAATTCTTTCTAACATTTGATGTAACCTTATTTAAGCAGGAGTGAAAATCTGCAGAACATGAAAGCAGTTCAGCTCAACACCATCATTACATTCCTAGTCCAGATCCCCATTATTAGTCTGTAGGAGGAGGTTAATTACTACACCCACTCTTCATGTCAACCCAAATTCTTCTTCTAATTCCCCTTCCTCTCAGGACCAAATCAACCATCTGGTGAGCAGGGTGTGTGGGAGAGTGCAGGAGAGGAGAGGGACGAGAGGACTCCAGGGCCCCGGGGAGACGTCGCCCCCGGCCAAACGCAGCCCCCGAAACAGAACCTCCATCACAGTGTCTCTCACCCGCCTCCCCTCCTCCACCCTGCCCAAGACCGCCCTCGGCTCTAAATAACTCACATCGTCGGCCGCGCTCCAATACTTCACATCCTTCCTTCCTGGGTTCTTTGAGGTAAAACACAGATCTACAATTGGTTAGGTTAGCTTAGTGGTTAAGAGCGTTGTGCCAGTAATCGAAAGGTCGCTGGTTCTAGTCCCCGAGCCGACTAGGTGAAAAATCTGTCGATGTGCCCTTGAGCAAGGCACTTAACCCTAATTGCTCCTGTAAGTCGCTCTGGATAAGAGCATCTGCTAAATGACAAAAAATAAATAAATTAAATAAAACAGAACCAGGCTCTGATTCACTAGAAATACCACTCTACTTTATCACATATTAAAAACACCACAATACTTAACATTAGCATAGGTAACATTATGCAAATGGTTAACCAGTTGCATTTATTTTACTTGTGCATGCTTACTTGAGCAAGGCACTTAACCCTAATTTCTCCTGTAAGTCGCTCTGGATAAGAGCGTCTGCTAAATGACTAAAATGTAATGTAAAATGTTACTACCACCCAGTTACTGTCACCAATCCAACTAATTCAGACCTGTGATTACTTCAAAGGAAGGAAGGAAGTACTTCTGAAGTATTCCAACAGGACCAGTGCTTCACTATGGTACATTGCTCTCTGCTCAGTGTGGAGAATGTGCTCCTTAAATCACAGCTTTTGCACTAGCGTAAATATATGTTGTTTTTAAGAGGCATTAATGGCTGGATTCAATCCGTGTAGGAGGATCCGCATTATAGGTCGATTGTAAATTTGAAGGCAATGTTCCCGTGTTCGCGGAGACTGCATTCACGGTAAACGCTGCATGTCAGCTCAATCGGAAATTACCTTTAAATGTTAGCGCGGATCTTCCGCGATACGGATTGAATCCAGCCCTTCGTCCAATACTGTATATTGTATCTAGAAATCACAATATCCCCCCAGCTACACCTACTGTTATTACCTACAGACTTCACTTCACTTTACTGGTGCTACAACATGGTGCTCAATTTATACTGTCATTGGTGTAATAATAATAATAATAATAATAATAATCTCTCTTTTGCTCAAAGCCATTGGACTGCATCCTGAACTGTGAAGAAGTTTTTAGGACTTTACCCATAAATTGATTCTACACACAATTTCGCGTTAGTATCCAACCAGTAACAAGGCTCTTCAGGGGTTTGTAATACATGAATACGATACAAAGATATTTCCAGCGGAGCGCAAAAAGTGGGTCGTATTTATTAGTGCTAAACGTAGCAAAACATTTTGCGACGGAAAACAAAAACAAGCGTTCCTTATTGGACTTGTTCAGGTAGCCCCTCCCCGTATTGGACCTTTTGCTTCCGTTTGGTTCCTAGTGAATACGACCCTGGCCTCAGATCATTGATGTTATACGTGTTTAGAGAATTGGCCAAGAGTAGAACGGTCATCCTGGGCTTCACACCGCTCATCTGACCATGTTGGTGTGAAACACTGTGCCTACTAATCATTTCAAATCACTTCTGGTGTCCATCGTTTTGTGACCAAGTTACCCACTCTAGACCCTTATAGGCTCTTCACCTGCAACTCTTTGGTTTCCAGGGCTGCGTTCCAAACGGCAGCCTGTCCCCCCTATTTCGAGCACTAGTTTTGACCAGAGCCCCATGGGTACTTTATAGAGAATAGGGTGTCATTTGGGACGCTCCCCAGGTGTTTTATCCAAACAACCACAACAGCACTTGTACATATAAAAACATGTCAATGTCTAAAGCTACAGGTACCTGAGCGTTTTGAGGAATGGAGTGTTTTGGAGAGGACACGATGACGGAAAAGCCTTACCTGTTTTCAGTTTCTTCATCTGTGGCCCCGTTTACACTCAACGGTGGTGATACAAAACAAATGACAATTACACAAGCGTTGTGGAGACAGTGAAACGGTTGTGTAAACATTTTTTGCGCAGACAAAAATATATATTGTATCACAACCACTGTGTGTCAACTGTGTTGGGCTGTAGTTGTATGGGGCCGGGGTTGCCCCGGTAACATGTATGGATAAGTGCAGCTTATATCACTGAAGTACAGCGTTGTTTGAATCCTGTCGTTTTTTAGCTTGACTTTTTTAAGAAAAGGGAAAATGAGTAGAATAGTAAATAAATAAAAATCAACTATGTACAGAAGGAGTAACTCATGTTGTTGCACTCCAGCCTCGAGACAAGAGTCCTTTAAACCCTCCCGTTGTCCTAGGGTCAAAATGACCCGCCACTGTGTTGAACCAACTTTATTTAATTTTTATATTTTTTGGATCATTTGTGAGAAGGAGGCAGTGATACTTTCTTTAAAGTCTCACTGCCTCCTTCTCACAAATGATCCCAAAAATATAAAAATTTAATAAAGTTGGTTCAACACAGTGGCGGGTCATTTTGACCCTAGGACAACGTGAGGGTTAAAATCAGCTTGTTGAGACCCCTTACAAAAACAATCCATTTTAGAAGTTCACATATATACAGAGTTTGGTGTTTTTGAAAAAGCGTGGTTAATGTTTCTTAAGGTATTGTTTTGGTTGTTTTTTTACAGTACAACAGGCTCACTGCAGCCGACGAGTCTAATTTATTATCACGGATTCTGTTTTCCTTCCATGTTGATTGAAGTTGGACAATGACTGTTTTATTTTCTACTTTTATTTGTTAGTTCCTTTTAAGGTTTAATAAAAAGGTTTGACAGTGTCTATCCAAATGTGTTCTTCTCATTGCTGTGTGTCTGTACCCTCGAAGCACCCTGTCAAACGGCTCTCTGTTTATGAACCACCAAGCTATTCTAGTTACTGACTGCAGACCTTTGGTTTAAACTTCCAGTGTAATGTTTGAAGAATGCAGTCCCTTGAAGAACATTTAAAAAGAACTTTATTATTATTTACTTAGATATAAATTTGATACAAGGAAGGAAGCTACATTTCATTTATTTAAAAAAAAAGACAAGAAAAGAAAAGCCTAAGCTAAAAAAACAAACAGTGATTGAGGTTTCTCTCTCCGCTACACGCTAAGCCCACCTAGCTACTGTAGTAGGGTCTCAATCATCTGTATTGGCTTCCTCTCCTCATCTCCTCTGAGATTATAGGAAGGAGACAAGGAGGCCACTTTAGACCATTGAGACACACCCCTACAGTAGTTTTCAGCTCCAGGGAGGGGGGGGGGGGGGGGGGGTTCCCCCTAGGTACAGATCTAGGATCAGCATCCCCTTATAATATTGGGGGAAAATGCAAAACTGACCCCCCAGATCATTGTCTAGAGGCAGGCAACCCTATACCCCCTAGCGTCGTTCTCACCCAGGGGGCAGGTCTGTGACGGCTCCTAAGAGGCCTGCGAGTCGCTGTCGTCAGAGTTCTTGAACGTCTCCGCCTCAGGCAGCGCCACCAGGGCTGTGTCGGCCTGCACTTCCTCCTCGTCTGGCAGTACCAGGGGCTCGTCTCCGCTGGCCTCGCTGCCCTCCCCCTCCTGGCCCTCCTCCCCCAGGCTGGTGTCCTGGCTGGCTGAGCCTGGCTCCGCGGAGGAGAGGGAAGACGGCTTGTTCCTCAGTTCCGCCTGGGTGGGCACCCGCAGGGAGATCTCAGAGGACAACGACTCAGGGTCTGGACCTGGGGGAGGGAGAGAGGGGATTAGTCAAACATCACGGCTGTGCCTATATATGGGATATAGGGTGCCATTTGGGATGTAACCACATGCTCCATCATGTGATTCCAGCGTGCTACAGTGTATAATCCCTGTTTTGTTTGAACTCATGACCACCTCCCATGACAACACAGCTCTGTTATCCCCACGGTGACGCGCATGCTTTGACACCATGCTTTCATAAGAAAGTGGCTCGCTAGCAACGCACATAATAACATGACTAAATGGACACAAGCAATACAGCACACAGCAGAGAAATGAACAGTTGTTCTACTAGTTAGTTAGCATTAGCAATATTATCTCTGTACCGTTGGTGGCTACATGATATCAACAAATGGACTGTGTCCCAAATTGCACACTATTCCCTACATACATTTGTAAAAGTAAGTAGCAAGCATTCTGCAAGACTGTTTCTGTAGTGAGCAGCTTGATGTACCAGTACACCCCCTGGACAGGACACTAGTCTATTTCCTGTTTCTGTAGTGAGGCAGCTTGATGTACCAGTACACTTCCTGGACAGGACACTAGTCTATTTCCTGTTTCTGTAGTGAGGCAGCTTGATGTACCAGTACACTTCCTGGACAGGACACTAGTCTATTTCCTGTTTCTGTAGTGAGGCAGCTTGATGTACCAGTACACCACCTGGACAGGACACTAGTCTATCTCCTGTTTCTGTAGTGAGCAGCTTGATGTACCAGTACACTTCCTGGACAGGACACTAGTCTATTTCCTGTTTCTGTAGTGAGGCAGCTTGATGTACCAGTACACCCCCTGGACAGGACACTAGTCTATCTCCTGTTTCTGTAGTGAGGCAGCTTGATGTACCAGTACACCACCTGGACAGGACACTAGTCTATCTCCTGTTTCTGTAGTGAGACAGCTTGGTGTACCAGTACACCCCCTGGACAGGACACTAGTCTATCTCCTGTTTCTGTAGTGAGGCAGCTTGATGTACCAGTACACCACCTGGACAGGACACTAGTCTATCTCCTGTTTCTGTAGTGAGGCAGCTTGATGTACCAGTACACTTCCTGGACAGGACACTAGTCTATCTCCTGTTTCTGTAGTGAGCAGCTTGATGTACCAGTACACCACCTGGACAGGACACTAGTCTATCTCCTGTTTCTGTAGTGAGACAGCTTGATGTACCAGTACAGCCCCTGGACAGGACACTAGTCTATTTCCTGTTTCTGTAGTGAGGCAGCTTGATGTACCAGTACACTTCCTGGACAGGACACTAGTCTATCTCCTGTTTCTGTAGTGAGGCAGCTTGATGTACCAGTACACTTCCTGGACAGGACACTAGTCTATCTCCTGTTTCTGTAGTGAGACAGCTTGATGTACCAGTACAGCCCTTGGACAGGACACTAGTCTGTCTCCTGTTTCTGTAGCGTGAAGCTACTCCCAATCTTCTAATTTTAGGGAGGACACTAACCACAAGGCCACTGAGTTGGTTATTCCTTACATAGTGGCGCCCTATTCCCTACATAGTGCACTGTGTTGATAACTACCTGAGGTGAGTGAGGAGGTCAGGCTGTTGTCCTCTCCTCCAGAGTTGAGGAAGACGTCGAGGGCCTCGTGGTCCGACACGTCCATCAGGTCCATCTGTTCCAGAACATCAACGTTCACCTCCATGGAAGACATGCTGCCTATAGGCCCTGTGGACCGACACACACAACCAGCGTCACGTCACACTGCAGCTGCACGACACTGTTACTGTTACGCAGGCCCATCTTTCCTCCATTTCTCACAAAGAATCTTGGAACTTATCCTCTAAATACGGTTGAAAGGGAGGCGAGGAATCACAGAGAGATGGATTGAGAACCTCAGACTGACGGACAGTACAACAGCACAGCACTGAAGATACTCAGACTGACAGACAGGCAGCACAGCACTGACATGAGACAGACAGACAGACACACAGAACTATCATACCTCAAGTATGATGAAAGCAGGAAGAGAGAGCACAATAAGAGACAGGAAGCAGTCAATTAACCGGTGTAGCATCACTGGATATTGTAAAGCTCAACGTCACAGCATTAGACAGAGCAGAACAGGGGAACAAGACAAGGGAAAGTCATAGAATCTACACCAAAACACTTTGAACTACAACACAGCAGTTACACCAGATGAAAGTTAATACAGAAAATATCATCTGAAACACAATTCAACCTTTTTAAAACAGCCTTTCTTTGAACTTATCAACAGAGGTTGTGTCCCAAATGGCACCCTATTCCCTATAGGCCTAAAGCACACTACTTTTGACCAGGGCCCATAGTGCTCTGGTCAAAAGCAGTGCACTATAAAGGGAACAGGGTGCCATTTGGGAGGCACCCAGTGTGTGTGTTATCGGTTCCACCTCACCTCTCCTATCGGTGATCTGCAGGTAGCCAGTAGACAGGTACTGATCCATGTCCTGTTGGAAAGCTTCTTCAAAGTACTTCTGCCTCTCCTTCAGCTTCACCTGCTGGGCATGTTCCATCTCCAGCACCTTCTGGGCATGCTCAGAGTCCAGCTCGGCTGGGGGGAAACAGGAAGTACAGGACACGTAAAGGAACGGGAAGTAGAGGACAGGTAAACATAGAGGTGGATAGAGGGCTGACTTGCTCTCACGGAAGCAGCCATTGAAAAGACAGGAGATGTGCTGTAGTACTCTATGGAGGTAAGTACTCCTGAACAGCTGCTGCTACTCTCTGTTTATTATCTATGCATAATCACTTTAACTCTACCTACATGTACATATTACCTCAATTACCTCGAATAAACTGTGCCCCCGCACATTGACTCTGTACCGGTACCCCCTGTATATAGCCTCGCTACTGTTATTTTACTGCTGCTCTTTAATTATTGTTTAGTTTTTAGTTATCTATTTTTTACTTAACACTTATTTTTCTTAAAACTGCATTGTTGGTTAAGGGCTTGTAAGTAAGCATTTCACCGTAAGGTCTACAGCTGTTGTATTCGGCGCATGTGACAAAAACAATTAGATTTGATTTGAAGTAATACCCTTTGGATAGACATAAGGACTAGCCACAGTCAAATTATTAAATAAAGCCTCAGTCATCCATGTATTATTTTATGGAAACATGTTTCACAAATGTAAAGGAACAAATGGGCACTGTATATGTTACTGTATAAATTACTGTATAAGTTACTGTATAAGTTACTGTATAGGCTACTGTATAAGTTACTGTATAAGTTACTGTATACGTTACTGTATATGTTACTGTATAAGTTACTGTATAAGTTACTGTATAAGTTACTGTATACGTTACTGTATAAGTTACTGTATATGTTACTGTATAAGTTACTGTATATGTTACTGTATAAGTTACTGTATAAGTTACTGTATAAGTTACTGTATAAGTTACTGTATAAGTTACTGTATAAGTTACTGTATAGGCTACTGTGTACATTAAACACAGAGGTTGTATTAGTTGATGTTACTGAATATAAACAAGACATTGTTCAGTATTCCTGTTAAGCTCTATGGGAGGTGGCAGCTTTTTGTCAGAGTAGCCTCCGCTCTTTTCTAGTGATCTAGTGACCCCCAAATCCATAGACAACATACATACAGTTTGGGACGCAATCTGTAGTTGGACTTTTACATCAGATGAATGTCTTCTTACTACAATAACGATCAACATCATCCTACAGATATAAGATAAATGTCTTCTTACTACAATAACGATCAACATCATCCTACAGATATAAGATAAATGTCTTCTTACTACAATAACGATCAACATCATCCTACAGATATCATGAGATAAATGTATTCTTACTACAATAATGATAATCATCCTCCTACAGATATCATAAGATAAATGTCTTCTTACTACAATAACGATCAACATCATCCTACAGATATCATGAGATAAATGTATTCTTACTACAATAATCATAATCATCCTCCTACAGATATCATAAGATAAATGTCTTCTTACTACAATAACGATCAACATCATCCTACAGATATCAATAAGATAAATGTCTTCTTACTACAATAACGATCAACATCATCTACAGATATCATAAGATTTAAATGTCTTATCTCTACATATGACAACATCATCCTACAGATATCTTTAAAATAATGTCTTCTCTACTACAATAACGATCAACATCATCCTACAGATATCATGAGATAAATGTATTCTTACTACAATAATGATGTTGATCTGTAGAATGATGATGTTGATTGTAGTAAGTTATTGTAGTAAGAAGACGAAGGGGAATGTCCCATAACCACTCACAAGATAACACTACAACACTACAGGATACTAACAAGATACCACTACAATACTACAGGATACTAACAAGATACCACTACAATACTACAGGATACTAACAAGATACCACTACAATACTACATTACCATGATACTAACAAGATACCACTACAACACTACAGTATTAGGATACTAACAATATTCCACTACAACTACAGTACCAGGATACTAACAAGATACCACTACAATACTACAGTACCAGGATACTAACAAGATACCACTACAACACATACAGTATTAAGGATACTAACAAGATACCACTACAATACATAAGGATACTAACAAGATACCACTACAATACTACAGTACCAAGGATACTAACAAGATACCACTACAACACTACAGGATACTAACAAGATACCACTACAATACTACAGGATACTAACAAGATACCACAACAATACTACATGATACTAACAAGATACCACTACAATACTACAGTACTATGATACTAACAATATACCACTACAACACTACAGTATTAGGATACTAACAAGATACCACTACAATACTACAGTACCAGGATACTTACAATATACCACTACAACACTACAGTACCAGGATACTAACAAGATACCACTACAACACTACAGTATTAGGATACTAACAAGATACCACTACAATACTACAGGATACTAACACGATACCACTACAACACTACAGTACCAGGATACTAACAAGATACCACTACAATACTACAGTATTAGGATACTAACAAGATACCACTACAATACTACAGGATACTACAACACGGATACACACTACAACACTACAGTACCAGGATACTAACAAGATACCACTACAATACTACAGTACCAGGATACTAACAAGATACCACTACAATAATACAGTACCAGGATACTAACAAGATACCACTACAATACTACAGGATACTAACAAGATACCACTACAACACTACAGTATTAGGATACTAACAAGATACCACTACAATACTACAGGATACTAACAAGATACCACTACAATACTACAGGATACTAACAAGATACCACTACAATACTACAGTACCAGGATACTAACAAGATACCACTACAATACTACAGGATACTAACAAGATACCACTACAATACTACAGGATACTAACAAGATTCCACTACAACACTACAGTACCAGGATACTAACAAGATACCACTACAACACTACAGGATACTAACAAGATACCACTACAATACATAACATACTCAGGATACTAACAAGATACCACTACAATACTACAGTACCAGGATAAACTAACAAGATACACCAACAACTACAAACACTAAACAGGTACTAACAAGATACCACTACAATACTACAGTACCAGGATACTAACAAGATACCACTACAACACTACAGGATACTAACAAGATACCACTACAATACTACAGGATACTAACAAGATACCACTACAACACTACAGTATTAGGATACTAACAAGATACCACTACAACACTACAGTATTAGGATACTAACAAGATACCACTACAATACTACAGTACCAGGATACTAACAAGATACCACTACAATACTACAGGATACTAACAAGATACCACTACAACACTACAGTACCAGGATACTAACAATATTCCACTACAATACTACAGTACCAGGATACTAACAATATTCCACTACAATACTACAGTACCAGGATACTAACAAGATACCACTACAACACTACAGTACCAGGATACTAACAAGATACCACTACAATACTACAGTACCAGGATACTAACAAGATACCACTACAACACTACAGGATACTAACAAGATACCACTACAACACTACAGTACCAGGATACTAACAAGATACCACTACAATACTACAGGATACTAACAAGATACCACTACAATACTACAGTACCAGGATACTAACAAGATACCACTACAACACTACAGTATTAGGATACTAACAAGACACCACTACAATACTACAGGATACTAACAAGATACCACTACAATACTACAGTACCAGGATACTAACAATATTCCACTACAATACTACAGTACCAGGATTACTATACAACAGTACCACTACAACACTACAGTACCAGGATACTAACAAGATACCACTACATACTACAGTACCAGATCCCTAACACAGATACCACTACAACACTACATGATACTAACAAGATACCACTACAACACTACAGTACCAGGATACTAACAAGATACCACTACAATACTACAGGATACTAACACTATTCCACTACAATACTACAGTACCAGGATACTAACAAGATACCACTCCACTACAGTACCAGGATACTAACAAGATACCACTACAATACTACAGGATATTAACAAGATACCGCTAGAATACTACAGGATACTAAAAACAGAAGTCACACTTGTATTTCCTTACTAGCACTAACTTTGCTGACAGCTGCTATATTGAGGAAAGGTTTTACTTACTATGACTGAGATATATGGTTGTCTCACCTAGCTACCTTAAGAAAATTGCTCCGGATAAGAGCGTCTGCTAAATGACTAAAATCCTAAATGTAAATTGACATCACCCACGTGTAGGCTAATTCTTTACCCGCCTGCCAAAGAGTGTGTCCTCCAGATCAGAAAACAACAGGACTGTTGTTGTGTGAAGCCAGACATGTACCGTGACTATCGTCCCAGTCAGCTCTAGTCTCCACTGTGAGCCATGCGTCTCTCTCCGTCTTAGAGACAGGAAGCACCTACCTACTTCTCAGAACAGCAGGAAGTGTCTGTGTTACGGCTAGTGGCGCTACATCCTTTTTAAAAGGTGCATAGTGTTGCAGTGAAACGTTAGTCTTAGATCAAGCTCTACTCATCATTAGCTGCCTTTACAAGAGCTGACATCCGTTTGGAGTGAAGTATCAGCAGATTGAGGCACTATGTACTTCTTTATTTTCTGAGAAAGTTCATCCCAGAAATGCTGCCTCATTGAAAATAAGAATTGCAACCCACAATCATTGGATTCTCACAAATCCTTGAAATGCCAACCAAGGTGCCAATCATAGGCTCAGGATTTTCAGGTAGGTCATTCTCATGGTGAGAATCTACCAAAGCATTTGAACACAGTCAGTCAGTCACCCCTGTGGTAAAGGGGTGTTGTTGTCAGTGGGCAGGATGTGCCAACTCTACTAGTCCCAGGTGGGCAGGAAGTCAGCCAGCAGGCACCAGGGCCCCACAATGACTGCCTGCATCCCAAATAGCACCCTATTCCCTTTATAGTGCACTACTTTTGACCAGGGCCCATAGGAAATACAGGGACTAGGGTGCCATTTATAGGTAACAATAGGCTTCCATTTGGGAAGCCACCTGTGATAAGAGACATTAATTCTATCTGCCAGATGGTGAACAGCAGCACAACAGGCAGCAGGTAGCTTAGTGGTTAAGACGTTTACATTTACATTTTAGTCATTTAGCAGACGCTCTTATCCAGAGCGACTTACAGTTAAGTGAGTGCATACATTTTTCATACTGAGCGTTGTGCTGGTTCTAATCCCCGAGCCAACTAGGTGAAAAATCTGTCGATGTGCCCTTGAGCAAGGCACTTAACCCTAATTGCTCCTGTAAGTCGCTCTGGATAAGAGCATCCGCTAAATGACAAAAAAACAAACAAAAAAAACAGAACCAGGCTCTGATTCACTAGAAATACCACTCTACTTTATCACATATTAAAACACCTCAATACTTAACATTAGCATAGGTAACATTATTCCCTCCCATAGACAACATTATGCAAATGTTGCTTGACAAATGGTCAACCAGTTGCATTTATTTTACTTGTGCATGCTGCAACAACTGAGGAATGTATTTTTTCCACACATGTGACCCACATGCTGCAGCTGTGACACGTGACGTTTTCTTGTTTTTCACAGTGGAAGTCAAATGGCTTTCTGAGAGAGAGAATGAAGTCAGTGGGCTTCTGAGAGAGCCAGGGTTGACAAGATATATGACATCAAACAGTGGAAGAGCTCCAGCTCCTCCTTAATGCCAATCACTCTGTGTAGCTAAAGGACCAAGTCAGTGTCCCAAATGCCACTCTATTCCCTATAGTGCAATACTGGACCCGGATACAAAAGTAGTGCACTATATTGGAATAGGGTGCTATCTGAGACGCACCCTAAATCCCCCCAGCAGGATAAATGTATAATGATGAGCCCTCCAACCTCTCTATTAACCCCCAGGGAAGGAGAAGTATACGGAGGTTCCTCTTAGTGAAAGTAACGCCCAACACAACGTCTTACTCCCCCACCACGTCAAATAATCTCCTTAAAAAAAGGAGGCTCATAGATTACAATTGCTAATTGAGTTGAAGGAATCTTAGAGGAGAGACTGGGGTTCTTTGTCTAAATCTAGAAGGCTCACGGCCCTCTACTACAGCTCTTCATTCCACTGTTGTAAACATTCTACTACAGCTCTTCATTCCACTGTTGTAAACATTCTACTACAGCTCTTAATTCCACTGTTGTAAACATTCTACTACAGCTCTTCATTCCACTGTTGTAAACATTCTACTACAGCTCTTAATTCCACTGTTGTAAACATTCTACTACAGCTCTTCATTCCACTGTTCTAAACATTCTACTACAGCTCTTAATTCCACTGTTCTAAACATTCTACTACAGCTCTTAATTCCACTGTTGTAAACATTCTACTACAGCTCTTCATTCCACTGTTGTAAACATTCTACTACAGCTCTTCATTCCACTGTTCTAAACATTCTACTACAGCTCTTAATTCCACTGTTGTAAACATTCTACTACAGCTCTTCATTCCACTGTTGTAAACATTCTACTACAGCTCTTAATTCCACTGTTGTAAACATTCTACTACAGCTCTTAATTCCACTGTTGTAAACATTCTACTACAGCTCTTAATTCCACTGTTGTAAACATTCTACTACAGCTCTTAATTCCACTGTTGTAAACATTCTACTACAGCTCTTAATTCCACTGTTGTAAACATTCTACTACAGCTCTTAATTCCACTGTTGTAAACATTCTACTACAGCTCTTAATTCCACTGTTGTAAACATTCTACTACAGCTCTTAATTCCACTGTTGTAAACATCTACTACAGCTCTTAATTCCACTGTTGTAAACATTCTACTACAGCTCTTAATTCCACTGTTGTAAACATTCTACTACAGCTCTTAATTCCACTGTTGTAAACATTCTACTACAGCTCTTAATTCCACTGTTGTAAACATTCTACTACAGCTCTTAATTCCACTGTTGTAAACATTCTACTACAGCTCTTAATTCCACTGTTGTAAACATTTACAGCTTAATTCCACTGTTGTAAACATTCTACTATAGCTCTTAATTCCACTGTTGTAAACATTCTACTACAGCTCTTAATTCCACTGTTGTAAACATTCTACTATAGCTCTTAATTCCACTGTTGTAAACATTCTACTACAGCTCTTAATTCCACTGTTGTAAACATTCTATTACTGCTCTTAATTCCACTGTTCTAAACATTCTCCAAGTCATGAGTCACCACTATAAATAGGAACCAAGATCAAATGTTCAGATAAATCTAATGATGTTTAATACCAAGCTATGTTAGGATGGTTTCAGAGGGCACAGCACTAGTTAAGGCAAACAGTGGTGACATTCTGTAAAGCCTAGTGAATTCAGTCATATTCCCTCAACTGATAGAGACTTGTGAAGAGTAAAACAAGTTCAGAGACCCCTACAGTGCATTATATTCCTAGATATTCTAAAGCAGTGGTCACCAACCGGACTGGTCGATCTTCAAGGCATTCCTAGTCGATCACCAAACATTTCTGTAGAAAAGCCGATGATAAAGGCATAAAGGTTTGCGCTCCTTTTTAAAATTTTCTCGAAGATCTATGGCTAAATCGAGTGAGCCTACTGCGCTGGCCAATCGGATAGCTCAAATCGCTGTGCATACCTACAGCTTCCACGACCCCGGCCACAGCAAAGTTTGATACTAGCCTACGTGAGATAACTTTTAAAACCACGTTACTGTGGGCTGTCAGGTTACGTTACTGTGGGCTGTCAGGTTAGGTAACTGTGGGCTGTCAGGTTAGATAACTGTGGGCTGTCAGGTTAGGTTACTGTGGGCTGTCAGGTTAGGTTACTGTGGGCTGTCAGGTTAGGTTACTGTGGGCTGTCAGGTTAGGTTACTGTGGGTTGTCAGGTTAGGTTACTGTGAGCTGTCAGGTTAGGTAACTGTGGGTTGTCAGGTTAGGTTACTGTGAGCTGTCAGGTTAGGTAACTGTGGGTTGTCAGGTTAGGTTACTGTGGGCTGTCAGGTTAGGTTACTGTGGGCTGTCAGGTTATGTTACTGTGAGCTGTCAGGTTAGGTAACTGTGGGCTGTCAGGTTAGGTTACTGTGGGCTGACAGATTAGGCTACTGTGGGCTGTCAGCTTAGGTTACTGTGGGCTGTCAGCCTAGGTTACTGTGGGCTGTCAGCTTAGGTTACTGTGGGCTGTCAGGTTAGGTTACTGTGGGCTGTCAGGTTAGGTTAGGTTACTGTGGGCTGTCAGGTTAGGCTAGGTTACTGTGGGCTGACAGGTTAGTTAGGTTACTGTGGGCTGTCAGGTTAGGTTACTGTGGGCTGTCAGGTTAGGTTACTGTGAGCTGTCAGGTTAGGTTACTGTGAGCTGTCATGTTAGGTTACTGTGGGCTGTCAGGTTAGGTTACTATGGGCTGTCATGTTAGGTTACTGTGGGCTGTCTGGTTAGATTACTGTGGGCTGCACAGGAGGTTGGTGGCACCTTAATTGGGGAGAACGGGCTTGTGGTAATGACTGGAACGTAGTCAGTGGAATGGTATCAAATACATGAAACACATGGTTTCCAGGTGTTTGATGCCATTCCATTTGCTACGTTCCGGACATTATTATGAGCCGTTCAGCAGCCTCCGCTAGTGGGCTGTCATGTTAGGTTACTGTGGTGGGCTGTCATGTTAGGTTACTGTGGGCTGTCATGTTAGGTTACTGTGGGCTGTCATGTTAGGTTACTGTGGGCTGTCATGTTAGGTTACTGTGGGCTGTCAGGTTAGGTTACTGTGGGCTGTCATGTTAGGTTACTGTGGGCTGTCATGTTAGGTTACCCTGGCACACACACACCGGCACAAACACACCAGTAAACTTGCTGGTCAGGTGTGGGCAGCCTGCTCCTCAGATGTGACAGTATAATGACAGACAACCGTGTTTGGAACAATGATCCATCTCCTCTAAAGCCATTTTTACATCATGGACCTTTTTCTGAGTCTCTGTATGACGATCTATGATGCTCTATGGCGCTCTGTGATGCACTAAAGGAGTCAATAGATTGGCGGACATTCAACAAACCTGATCTAACAAAGTGGATATTCATCATTTTATTGTGTTAATATTTCCTTTTTTATTTAGCAAATATTTGTCTTAATTTTTAACTCTGCGTTGTTGGGAATGGGCTCGTAAGTAAGCATTTCACTGTAAAGTCTACAGTCGTGGTCAAAAGTTTTGAGAATGACAAGTATTGGTCTTAACAAAGTTTCCTGCTTCAGTGTTTTTAGATATTTTTGTCAGATGTTACTATGGTATACTGAAGTATAATTACAAGCATTCCATAAGTGTCAAAGGCTTTTATTGACAATTACATAAAGTTTATGCAAAGAGTCAATATTTGCAGTGTTGACCCTTTTTCAAGACCTCTGCAATCTGCCCTGGCATGCTATCAATTAACTTCTGGGCCACATCCTGACTGATGGCAGCCCATTCTTGCATAATCAATGCTTGGAGTTTTTCAGAATTTGTGGGTTTTTGCTTGTCCACCCGCCTCTTGAGGATTGACCACAAGTTCTCAATGGGATTAAGGTCTGGGGAATTTCCTGACCATGTACTCAAAATGTCGATGTTTTGTTCCCCGAGCCACTTAGTTATCACTTTTGCCTTATGGCAAGGTGCTCCATCATGCTGGAAAAGGCATTGTTCGTCACCAAACTGTTCTTGGATGGTTGGGAGAAGTTGCTCTCGGAGGATGTGTTGGTACCATTCTTTATTCATGGCTGTGTTCTTAGGCAAAATTGTGAGTGAGCCCACTCCCTTGGCTGAGAAGCAACCCCACACATGAATGATCTCAGGATGCTTTACTGTTGGCATGAGACAGGACTGATGGTAGCGCTCACCTTGTCTTCTCCGGACAAGCTTTTTTCCGGATGCCCCAAACAATCGGAAAGGGGATTCAGAGAAAATTACTTTACCCCAGTCCTCAGCAGTCCAATCCCTGTACCTTTTGCAGAATATCAGTCTGTCCCTGATGTTTTTCCTGGAGAGAAGTGGCTTCCTCGCTGCCCTTCTTGACACCAGGCCATCCTCCAAAAGTCTTCGCCTCACTGTGCGTGCAGATGCACTCACACCTGCCTGCTGCCATTCCTGAGCAAGCTCTGCACTGGTGGTGCCCCGATCCCGCAGCTGAATCAACTTTTGAAGCCTTCTTCAAAACAATTGAACCTCTTTCCTTGAAGTTCTTGATGATCCGATAAATGGTTGATTTAGGTGCAATCTTACTAGCAGCAATATCCTTGCCTGTGAAGCCCTTTTTGTGCAAAGCAATGATGACGGCACGTGTTTCCTTGCAGGTTACCATGGTTAACAGAGGAACAACAATGATTTCAAGCGCCACCCTCCTTTTAAAGCTTCCAGTCTGTTATTCTAACTCAATCAGCATGAAAGAGTGATCTCCAGCCTTGTCCTTGTCAACACTCTCACCTGTGTTAACGACAGAATCACTGACATGATGTCAGCTGGTCCTTTTGTGGCAGGGCTGAAATGCAGTGGAAATGTTTTTTGGGGATTAAGTTCATTTTCATGGCAAAGAGGGACTGCAATTAATTGCAATTCATCTGATCACTCTTCATAACATTCTGGAGTTAATGCAAATTGCCATCATAAAAACTGAGGCAGCAGACTTTGTGCAAATTAATATTTGTGTCATTCTCAAAACTTGTGACCACGACTGTACACCTGTTGGGAATGGGCTTGTAAGTAAGCGTTTCACTGTGAAGTCTACACCTGTTGTATTCGGCGCATGTGACCAATAAAAAATGTGTTTTGATTTATACTCAAGATTTTTACCTCAACATACTGTGAAATTACACAAACAATAGCCTAAATGCTAATTTTGCTGGGGGGGGCAATGAGGAGACCTGGGATCTTTCCCTACGGCCTTTCCCCCCACTCGTTTCCATGGCAATTCCATGGTTCAGACTGCACTGCTTACCTCAGCAAGCCATTGATCTCTGGAATAGCAGCCATAGTGTGCGTCCCAAATGTTACCCTATATAGTGCACTACTTTTTGACCAGAGCCCTGGTCAAAAAGTAGTGCACTATATAGGGAATAGGGTACTATTTGTGATGCAGACATTCTGCCGGTCTTACTCTAAAATCACTGCCTCTTTACTATGATGGTTAAGAGCTAGAGAAATCAATACCCTCTGGAGGGAGCGCCAAAGTAAGGAGTGAATAGTACTTCTCCAGTGCTGCATTTTTACCCACAGAGTGAATTACATGCTGACCACACCGCCCGCATCGCGTACGTGAGCGTTGCAAAATAAGTTTACACATACAGTACCAGTCAAAAGTTTGGACACACCTACTCATTCAAGGTTTTTTTTTTATTTTCATTTTTTTATTCTACATTGTAGAATAATAGTGAAGACATCAAAACTATGAAATAACACATATGGAATCATGTAGTAACCAAAAAAGCGTTAAACAAATCAAAATATATTTTATATTTGAGATTCTTCAAAGTAGCCACCCCTTTGCCTTGATGACAGCTTTGCACACTCTTGGCATTCACTCAACCAGCTTCACCTGGAATGCTTTTCCAACAGTCTTGAAGGAGTTCCCATATATGCTGAGCACTTGTTGGCTGCTTTTCCTTCACTCTGCGGTCCGACTCATCCCAAACCATCTAAATTGGGTTGAGGTCGGGGGATTGTGGAGGCCAGGGCATCTGATGCAGGACTCCATCACTCTCCTTGTTGGTCAAATAGCCCTTACACAGCCTGGAGGTGTGTTGGGTCATTGTCCTGTTATAAAACAAATGAGAGTCCCACTAAGCGCAACCCAGATGGGATGGCGTATTGCTGCAGAATGTTGTGGTAGCCATGCTGGTTAAGTGTGCCTTGAATTCTAAATAAAATCACCAGCAAAGCACCTCCACACCATCACACCTCCTCCTCCATGCTTCACGGTAGGAACCACACATGCGGAGATCATCCTTTCACCTACTCCGCGTCTCACAAAGACATGGCGTAACCAAAAAT